TTTTCAAAAATTTAAATCTAATCTTTTATGATAGAGTTTTGAAAATTATATGGAGAACATACTATATGAACACATTTGACATTTAGTCAACTGTACAAACCCAAAAAATTTGCTGTTTTGTTGGAAATTTTCAAATGACTTGAAAAAAAAACTATTGTGTTTGGTGTGTGTGTGTTCCAGTCAGTCAACCCATTGCGTGTGTTTTCGAAAGGCAGGCAAAAACGATATGACAATGGGGAAAGTGCCAAAAATAGAAGGTGGTTTAAAAATACCAGGCATTTAACTTACATACCACCAAAAATATAGGATTGGTCAAGGTTATAAGGCGAACAAGTATTTTTGGGAGTTTTTTATTTCCGTTTGTTATATTTTTGATAAAGTTAACAAAAAAAAAATTGGCATATTTTGCTTTTAAATAGAATTGGAAGCCAAATAAAAATTAAATACGTAAAATATCCCTTTTTACCAAAATAAATTTCATATCCCTTTTTTGTTTATAATTCTATTAATTTCTCCTTAAAAAAAGGGCAATAAAATTAGAAATAGATATTGATAATATAAATAAAATTGTTATACTGGTATGAGGTCATATCTTTTTTTACTTAAAGTTAAAGGTGTGTATTAATTTTACAATTTCTTCCTGTTTTAGTTTATTTAAACAAAATTTTTTAAAAAACTTATAATTAACTAAAACAAAAACGTCTCTAATTTGTTGTGATATCTTGTATTAGATATCATTGTTTTTATTATATTTTTATTTTCTGTTCTGGAAAAACAATCTAATTAAACTGAAAAAAATCTTAATTACTATTTCTAGGCAAACATTCAAAACAACACAAATAATTTTCTAAAAGTTCCCATCCCATTATTATTTTTTTCATTTTACTTTTTTTTGCACAGAACTTAGTCTACTGCCCTTCCCCTTAGCTGCTGCTGTTGAGAAATTGTTTAAACAAAATTTTCACGTATTGTTAAGTTAAATTAAATAAAAAGAAAATAAATTAGAATAATTAAAAAAATAATAATAAAAAACGTAGTAGTCATAGAAAACAAGTATGATGACATAAAATCTAGAAGGAAATACACGGTGAGAAAAAGTTCTACCTAGTCTATAGACTAGAATATAATCCAGTCTACAAACTAAACTATATGTATATATAGTGTATACAGTCTGGATTAAAGCGTTGTCTATAGTCTGGGCTATAGTCGACTCTAGTCTGGACTATATTCTATTCTATAGTCTAGTCTACAGGCTGGACTAGAGTCCAGTCTGCAGTCTCGACTTTAGTCTAGTATATAGTCTGGACTATAGTCAATAGTCTGGACTATAGTCAATAGTCTAGACTATAGTCTAGTCTATAGCCTGGACTATAGTCCAGTCTATAGTCTGTACTATAGTCTAGTCTATAGTCTGGACTATATTCTAGTCTATAGTCTGGACTATAGTCTATTCTATAGCCTGGACTATAGTCCTATCCATAGTCTGGACTATAATCCAGTTGATAGTCCAGACTAGTCTACAGTCTTGACTAGAGTCTAGTCAGGCTATAGTCTAGCATATAGTCTAGAGTCTAGTCTACAATCTGGACTAGAGTCTAGTTTATAGTCTGGACTATAGTCTAGTCTGTCGTCTGGACTATAGTCTAGTCTGTAGCCTGGACTATAGTCCAGTCTATAGTCTAGTCTATAGTCTAGTCCATAGTCTAGTCTATAGTCTAATCCATAGTCCAGACTATAGTCTAGTCTATAGTCTGGACTATAGTCTAGTCCATAGTCTGGACTATAGTCTATTCTATAGCATAGTACATAGACTGGACTATAGTTTAGTCTATAGTCTGGACTATAGTCTAGTCTTTAATATGGACTATAGTCTAGTCTATAGTCTGGACTATAGTCTAGTCTATAGTCTGGACTATAGTCTAGTCTATAGTCTGGACTATAGTCTAGTCTATAGTCTGGACTATAGTCTAGTCTATAGTCTGGACTATAGTCTAGTCTATAGTCTGGACTATAGTCTAGTCTATAGTCTGGACTATAGTCTAGTCTATAGTCTGGACTATAGTCTAGTCTATAGTCTGGACTATAGTCTAGTCTATAGTCTGGACTATAGTCTAGTCTATAGTGTGGACTATAGTCTAGTCTATAGTGTGGACTATAGTCTAGTCTATAGTCTGGACTATAGTCTAGTCTATAGTGTGGACTATAGTCTAGTCTATAGTGTGGACTATAGTCGAGTCTATAGTCTGGACTATAGTCTAGTCCATAGTCTAGACTATAATCTAGTCTATAGTCTGGACTATAGTCTAGCCTATAGTCTAGTCTATAGTCTGGACTATAGTCTAGTCTATAGTCTGGACTATAGTCTAGTCTATAGTCTGGACTATAACCTAGTCTGTAGCCTGGACTATAATCTTTTGCCAGATTAAAGTCTAATCTATAGTCAACAGTCTGAACTAGCAAATTTTTGTTTACTTTTTAAAATGATTTATTTTTAGCTCCAAAAATAAACGTTAAAATTCCTAACTAAACTCGTTTTTTATATTTTTATTTCTTCTTCTTTTAAAATGCTTCTTAACAAATTGTTGTTGTTGTTACTTTTCTAGATTTGTTTTGTTTACCAATATATGTATTCGAATTTTAATTTGTTAGCATTCTATTAACGCGTTTTGCATTTTTAAGATAATTAAAAATTTTTACACGCATACACCCAAGCAAACAACCAATACCCTTTAAAAAAGAAACATACACACATTCTTTCATAGAAAAAAACTGTTAAAAAGAAAACAAGTGTTTTTCTTCTTTATCGATTTGTTTGTTTGTTATTTTTATGTACTTATTGAGTAATAAATACCGTTAAAACTGTCAAAATTTGACAGTTACTTAAAATAAGTAAAAATGACTGCGAATAAAGTATTAAAGGAAAAGGAAAAAAAGTGATATAAAACCAGTTTTTTTTTTAAATTTTGGGATTAGAGAATTTTCTGTTTTCTAGAGAAGCTATAAAAAATATAATAATGTTTTTTAATTTAGTTATTAAAAAATAAAAATAATTAAACAGAGAACAGTGGTAAAAAATTTTATAAATTTTATGCAAAATTTAAGATTTCTAGACAATATATTAGTGTGTAAACAGATATGATTATAGGCCAGACTTTGGACAAGGAAACAGACCACTCTATAGACTAGACTATAGTCCAATTTTAGACAAGACTTTGCCCCATACAATAAAATATGCTACAGTCCAGAATATGGACTAATCTCTAGTCCCGATAATAGACTAGAATAGGCAACAATACAGATTATAGACTAGATCATAGCTCAGACTATATAGAGGAAATTTATCGAAAATGTTCTATAAAAAGAAAATTTATCGAAAATTTCCTATAAAAATTAAATTTATCGAAAATTTCCTATAAAAATTAAATTTATCGAAAATTTCCTATAAAAAGAAAATTTATCGAAAATTTCCTATAAAAAGAAAATTAATCAAAATTTTCCTATAAAAAGAAAATTTATCGAAAATTTCCTATAAAAAGAAAATTTATCGAAAATTTCCTATAAAAAGAAAATTTATCGAAAATTTCCTATAAAAAGGAAATTTATCGAGAAATTCCTATAAAAAGGGAATTTATCGAGAAATTCCTATAAAAAGGAAATTTATCGAAAATGTCCTATAAAAAGGAAATTTATCGAAAATGTCCTATAAAAAGGAAATTTATCGAAAATGTCCTATAAAAAGGAAATTTATCGAAAATGTCCTATAAAAAGGAAATTTATCGAAAATGTCCTATAAAAAGAAAATCTATCGAAAAATTCCTATCAAAAGGAAATTTATTAAAAATTTCCTATAAAAAGGAAATTTATTACAAATTTCCTATAAAAAGGAAATTTATCACAAATTTCCTATAAAAAGGAAATTTATCGCAAATTTCCTATAAAAAGGATATTTATCGCAAATTTATAAAAAAAAATGTATCGAAAAATTCCTATAAAAGGAAATTTATCGAAAATTTTCTATAAAAAGGAAATTTATAAAATGTTTTTCATAAAAAGGAAATTTATCGAAAATTTCCTATAAAAAGGAAATTAACTGAGAACGTCATATAAAAAAGAAATTTATTGAAAATACACCAGACTACAGTCCAGACTATAGTCCAAAATATAGACCAGACTATACCCAAACTTTAGTCCAGAATATAGACCAGACTTTAGTCCAGGCTATAGACCAGACTATAGACTAGATTATAGTCCAGACTATAGACTATAATCCAGACAATAGAATAGATTATAGTCCAGACTATAGACTATAATCCAGACAATAGACTAGATTATAGTCCAGACTATAGACTACACTATAGTCCAGACTATAGTCCAGACTATAGTCCAGACTATAGACCAGACTATAGTCTAGACTATAGTCCATGCTATAGTCCAGACTATAGACTAGACTATAGTCTAGACTATAGACTAGACTATAGTCCAGACTATAGACTAGACTATAGTCCAGACTATAGACTAGACTATAGTCCAGACTATACACTAGACTATAGTCCAGACTATAGACTAAGTTAGAGACTAGAACAGAACTAGACCAGAGTATAGACTAGACTATAGTACAGACTATAGACTAGACTATAGTCCAGACTATAAACTAGATTAAAGACTTGACTATAGACCCAGAGTATAGACCAGACTATAGATAAGATTATAGACCAGACTATAGACCAGACTTTAGTCCAGACTATAGACTAGACTATAGTCCAGACTATAGACTAGGTTAAAGACAAGACAATAGACTACACTATAGTTCAGACTACAAACTACACTATGTACTAGACCAGCGAAAGGTTATAGACAAATCTATAGTCCAAACTGGGAACTAAACTACAGTCCAGGCTATAGACTATACTATAAACCAGACTATAGACTATTAAACTTTTAATTGCTTATAATTATTTAATAAATTTTAATTTAAAAATGTAAAATTTAACAAAACTTACCTGTAATATTTTTCCAAATAATCTCAAAGATGAATCCGAATCCCACTTAGCTGATGATCATGCAAAAAGAGCAACAATATTTACTTAAGTTGCAAATGACTGTGTATGTGGAGAGCGTAGTTTTGTTGATGATTTTTCTTTATTGCAGTATTAGTAATGTTTCACTACCACCTGTTGCTGTCATAACAAACCGCTAGATATGTTTCATTTTTATCACTCGTTTCCAAGCAATAAGCTTTTGGTTTGTTTGTATAAAGCTTACACACTCATTTTATAAACTCTCTGAATTTCTCACTTTGTTAATTTTTTTTCGTATTTAAAACAATTGTTTATGTTAAATAATTTTAAACCGGGTTTTAGTAAACACAATTTTAGAGCATGTTTGTTTGTATTTGAGTGTTGGGAAAAAAAGGTGTGTGGGAATTTTTTTTGTGTAAAAATATTTAATCTCTGAGTAATACTACAACAGAACTTTAGGTATTTTAAACTCTGGGTTGTATTAAGAGGAGCAGAAGCTTCTTGCTTATTTTTTATTTTTTTTGCTTTTCTTACTCTTTTATACGTATTTTTTTTATTAAAGCCAAGTTATTTTTTATCTTGTTGTTTTTGTTTTCTATTTTTATACTTTTTATAAGTTGCCAAGTATAGGTGAGTTTTAAAAGCCGCGTTGTTGTAATTTTTCGTGTATATAGATAAATTTTTTTACAAAACCAGGAAAATTTTATCAGGCCCCCCTCAATACATACATTTTTTTACCAAACTTGTTAATTTATGCACTTTTTTAACTTTAATGTAATTCCAGTCTAAAGAAGCCTCTTCTTTTTTTGTTGTTGTTTAACCACTCAACCAATATTTTTCTTCATTTCTTTAAAATGAAATCATGCAAGTTTTGAAAAAATTCACTCAATTGTAACAAATTGCAAAATATTTTATTTTACTTTTTGTATTTATCATTATTTTACACTTAACACTTATTTTCTTAAAAAACAGAACTTTCTAAAACACAAATTTAATTTATCTTGTTGTAAGCTTAATTATTTATATATTTTTTTAAACAAACTTTAAATATGGCTGGCTACACACGCGCTGCGCTACTAACAAATTTTTAATACTTTTTTTTATAATATTTTTACATTCTTTTCAATATTTTGTTACCTTTTTCTTTCTTTGATTACAAACTTCATTTATTTACTTCAAACTTCACTCTTTTGACAACTTAACATTAACAACAACAATAAGAAAAAAGCCTACGTAAGTTTTAGTCATGTTTTGTATTCAAACACAAAATGACAAACGCGTCTCAAAAAAAGACCGACCGAACGAACGTACGTGCACGCGCCACTAGTAATCATCCACAACTTAACACGCCTGTTACTAAATCGCACCTAACTACCTTTACTTTACGCTCTCTCATTTACACCCAATGTTAACGTCGTCATATTTACTGCTATGAGGGAATGTATTGGAATTGAAGTTATTTTGTGTGCAAGCTTTTTAAATGAATAAAGCTTTATATCGCACAAAAATAGCGTTATTAAGTTAAAATAAACTTAATAACGTTCGTGTGGATAACTTTAATATTTAAAGCTTTTTCTTTGTGGAAACGGAACATGAAAAAAATGTTAAAATCGTAAATACCGTTACATAATGCTCGGTATTATCTATAGTGTAAATTATAATTCAATCTGTAGTCTGAACTATAGTGTAGTACATTGCCTCTACTATAGTCTAGTCTATAGTCTGCACTGTAGCCTATTCTATAGTCTGAACTATAGCCTATTCTATAGTCTGGACTATAACCTAGTCTATAGTCTGGACTATAACCTAGTCTATAGTCTGGACTATAGCCTATTCTATATTCTGGACTATAGCCTAGTCTATAGTCTGGACTATAGCCTAGTCTATAGTCTGGACTATAGCCTAGTCTATAGTCTGGACTATAGCCTAGTCTATAGTCTGGACTATAGCCTAGTCTATAGTCTGGACTATAGCCTAGTCTATAGTCTGGACTATAGCCTAGTCTATAGTCTGGACTATAGCCTAGTCTATAGTCTGGACTATAGCCTAGTCTATAGTCTGGACTATAGCCTAGTCTATAGTCTGGACTATAGCCTAGTCTATAGTCTGGACTATAGCCTAGTCTATAGTCTGGACTATAACCTAGTCTATAGTCTGGACTATAGCCTAGTCTATATTCTGGACTATAGCCTAGTCTATAGTCTGGACTATAGCCTAGTCTATAGTCTGGACTATAGCCTAGTCTATAGTCTGGACTATAGCCTAGTCTATAGTCTGGACTATAGCCTAGTCTATAGTCTGGACTATAGCCTAGTCTATAGTCTGGACTATAGCCTAGTCTATAGTCTGGACTATAGCCTAGTCTATAGTCTGGACTATAGCCTAGTCTATAGTCTGGACTATAGCCTAGTCTATAGTCTGGACTATAACCTAGTCTATAGTCTGGACTATAGCCTAGTCTATATTCTGGACTATAGCCTAGTCTATATTCTGGACTATAGCCTAGTCTATAGTCTGGACTATAGCCTAGTCTATAGTCTGGACTATAGCCTAGTCTATAGTCTGGACTATAGCCTAGTCTATAGTCTGGACTATAGTCTAGTCTATAGTCTGCACTGTAGCCTATTCTATAGTCTGCACTGTAGCCTATTCTATAGTCTGGACTATAGCCTATTCTATAGTCTGGACTATAACCTAGTCTATAGTCTGGACTATAACCTAGTCTATAGTCTGGACTATAACCTAGTCTATAGTCTGGACTATAGCCTAGTCTATATTCTGGACTATAGCCTAGTCTATAGTCTGGACTATAGCCTAGTCTATAGTCTGGACTATAGCCTAGTCTATAGTCTGGACTATAGCCTAGTCTATAGTCTGGACTATAGCCTAGTCTATAGTCTGGACTATAGCCTAGTCTATAGTCTGGACTATAGCCTAGTCTATAGTCTGGACTATAGCCTAGTCTATAGTCTGGACTATAGCCTAGTCTATAGTCTGGACTATAGCCTAGTCTATAGTCTGGACTATAGCCTAGTCTATAGTCTGGACTATAGCCTAGTCTATAGTCTGGACTATAGCCTAGTCTATAGTCTGGACTATAGCCTAGTCTATAGTCTGGACTATAGCCTAGTCTATAGTCTGGACTATAGCCTAGTCTATAGTCTGGACTATAGCCTAGTCTATAGTCTGGACTATAGCCTCGTCTATAGTCTGGACTATAGCCTAGTCTATAGTCTGGACTATAGCCTAGTCTATAGTCTGGACTATAGCCTAGTCTATAGTCTGGACTATAGCCTAGTCTATAGTCTGGACTATAGCCTAGTCTATAGTCTGGACTATAGCATAGTCTATAGTCTGGACTATAGCCTAGTCTATAGTCTGGACTATAGCCTAGTCTATAGTCTGGACTATAGCCTAGTCTATAGTGTGGACTATAGCCTAGTCTATAGTGTGGACTATAGCCTAGTCTATAGTCTGGACTGTAGTCTAGTCTATAGTCTGGACTATAGCCTAGTCTATAGTCTGGACTATAGCCTAGTCTATAGTCTGGACTATAGCCTAGTCTATAGTCTGGACTATAGTATAGTCTATAGTCTGGACTATAGTATAGTCTATAGTCTGGACTATAGTATAGTCTATAGTCTGGACTATAGCCTATTCTATAGTCTGGACTATAGCCTATTATATACTCTAGACTATAGCCTATTCTATAGCCTAGTCTATAGTCTGGATTACAGCCTAGTCTATAGTCTGAACTATAGATTAGTCTAAAGTCTGGATTATAGCCTAGTCTATAGCATGGACTACAGCCTAGTCTATAGTCTGAACTATAGCCAAGTCTAAAGTCTGGATTACAGCCTAGTCTATAGTCTGGACTATAGCCTAGTCTATTGTCTGGACTAAAGAATAGTCTATTGTGTGGACTAGTCTATAGTCTGAACTGTAGGCTGGATTATTATCTAGTCTATAGTCTACACTATAGTCTAGTCTATAATCTGGGCTATAGCCTTGACTACGGTATTAGCTATAATCTGGACTATAGTCTAGTCTATAGTCTGTACTATAGTCTAGTCTTATCTGGACTATAGTCTAGTCTATATTATGGACTATTTTTCGAACTAAAGTTTGTATTACTGTCTAGTTCACTTTCTGGACTATAGTCTAGTCTATAGTCTGATATATAGTCAGGGTTATAATGTAGCCAATAGGCTCCATATTCAAGACTATAGTCTGGACTATAATGAATTCTATCGATAGTCTGGTCTAGTCTATAGTCAGGATTATAGCCCGGTCTATGATCTTGACTACAGTTTAGTCTATAGTCTGGTCTGTAGTCTAGGAAGAGAGTCCACACTATAGTCTAGGCTGTAGTCTATCTATGGCAAGACTATGGTACACACTACCATCTGGGCAAAATACCGCACTACAGTCTAATCTATAATCAGGATTATCTATTGTCTGGACTATGATGTAAACCATAATTTGGGAAATTAGTAATCCATACATTTCTTAAAATAAATACCCACTTTTTTGAATAAAAACACTTGATATTTTTTTTTTTTTTTGGTGTTTTTGCGCGGTTTTTGTGTTATTTTATGTTTTTTTTATTTATTTACTTTATGGTGATGATTTTTTTAATGTTTTTGTTTTTTTTTTTTAATTTGTTTTTTTTTGTTTTTTTATTAAATGTTGTTTATTTGTTTGTTTTTTTTTTATCAACTAAAATACAAAAATAGTAAGGTTGGTTTTTGTTTGTAATTATTTTGTTTTTTTTTTTGTTAAAAGTGTTTCAAGTACATACAACTAACAACAAAACATATTTGTTTATTGTTTAAATTGTTAATTTAATTATATAATATATATAAATATTTATTAATTTGTTTAAGCCAAATTTCTATAATAATGGTCTCAATATAGTTTCAATTTAGTTTTTTTTTTATATGTATTTTTAAAGAAAGGTTATAGGTTAAAACACAAAACTGGTCAAAGGTCAGTTAGAAAATATTGAGTAGTGAAGTTTTGTTGTTAAGAAAGTTTTTAAAATTTAAATTTTTAATTGAAAATTAGTAATTTAATTCATTTTCCAAATTTTATTTAAATTTCATTTAAAAATTTATAACTTGACCTTTGACTTTTAAAGTATTTTGTTTAATGTGATTTACCTTTTTATTTTTTGTTGTAATTTTTAAACTTATTTACTACTACACATCAATATTATTTTTTTATATTTTTATTAGTGTTATATTTTCTTGTTTTTTTTTTCTTTTCAATAATATTTTTTGAATAATTGATTTTATGTTTTAAATTTGATTTGTTTTTTTACTCGAAAAGTGTTATTTGTTTGTATTAATTGTTTTTCTTCTTTCAATTTGGCTTATTGTTTGTGTTTTGTATTTTTAATTATTTTTAATAATAAACTTTAAGATCACATATTTTTAAAATTGTTTTTTTTTTTCAAAAAAAAAAAAAAGTTTTTTTTTACATATATTTTTTTAAATTTATTTTTTTGTCTTATTTATATCACTATGTTTTACATTTTTTTATATATCGATTTTCGTTTAATTGTTATTTATAAAAAATCAGTATAAGAAATACAAGGAGTGAGGCTACAGGACTAAAGGTAAGTCTAAGTATAAGTATTGTCTATGCAATAGAAGATTCTATAGTCCAAACATTACATGAAGCTACAGTTCAGACCATAGACGGAATTATAGTTCAGACTTTGGACATAACTCCAGATTTTGAACTTAAATCCAGACTATATAGTCAAAACTTTAGTTTAAACCATAGTCCAGACTTTAGTTTAAACTATAGTTGGAACAATATTCCAAACAATAGACTAACTTATAGTCCAGACTATAGACTAAACTGTAGTCCACACTATAGACTTAACAATAGTCCAGACTTTAGTTTAAACTATACTCCAGACTAACTATAACTATAACAGTCCAGACTATAGACTAAACTATAATCCAGACTACAAACTAAGCTATAGTTTAGATTATAGACTAAACTATAGTCCAGACAATAGACTCAACTATAGTCCAGACTATAGACTAAGCTATAGTCCAGACTATAGACTAAACTGTAGTCCAGACTATAGACTAAACTATAGTCCAGACTATAAACTAAACTTTAGTCCAGACTATAGACTAAACTATAGTCCAGACTACAAACTAAGCTATAGTTTAGATTATAGACTAAACTATAGTCCAGACTATAGACTAAACTGTAGTCCAGACTGTAGACTAAACTATAGTCCAGACTATAGACCAAAACATTGTCCAGACTATAGACTTAACTGTAGTCCAGACTATAGACTAAACTATAGTCCAGACTACAAACTAAGCTATAGACTAGACTACAGACTTAACGATAGTCTAGACTATAAACTAACCTATAGGCCGGTCTATAGACTAAACTGTAGTACAAATTATAGACTAACCTTTAGACTAAACTATAGTCCAGACTATAGACTAAACAGTAGTCTAGACTATAGACTGAAATATAGTCCAGACTATAGACTATAATATAATCCAGACCATAGACTATAATATAGTCCAGACTATAGACTATAATATAGTCCAGACTATAGACTAAACTATAGTCCAGATTATAGACTAAACTATAGTCCAAACTATGGACTAAACTATAGTCCAGACTATAGACTTAACTATAGTCCAAACTATAGACTTAAATATATTCCAGACTATAGATTTAAATATAGCCCAGACTACAAACTAAGCTATATTCTAGACTATAGAGTTAAGACTTAACTATAGTCTAGACTATAGACTTAACTATAGTCTAGACTATAGACTAAACTAGATTTAAATATAGTCCAGATTACAAACTAAGCTATATTCTAGACTATAGAGTTAAGACTTAACAATAGTCTAGACTATAGACTAAACTATAGCCCAGTTTATAGACTGAATTGTAGTACAGATTAGAGACTAACATTTAGACTAAACTATAGTCCAGACTGTTGACCAATCTATAGACCATACTATAGACTAAACTATAGACCAGACTATAGACTAAACAATAGCCCAGACTATAATCCAGACTATAAACTATACTATAGTCAAGACTAAACTGCAATACAGATTATAGACTAACTTTTAGTCCAGACTAAAGTCTAAACTATAATCCAGACTTGACTGGACTCCATGTTTTAGTCTAAATCATAGTCCAGACTTTAAAATAAACTCTAATCCAGACTATAGACCAAACTATAGCTCATACTTCAACAAAAACTACGACTCAAATCAAACCCCTTTGACTCACCTCTAGAGTTTTAAAAATATTAGTAAAATTTGAACTAAAAATTATAAGAAAATTATTTAAAATTAATAAAAAAAAATATATATATTAATAATAATGGAAACTTAAAACAAAAGCAAAAAAAACAAATATTATTATAAAAAATATAGTTAGATATAATAAGTATATAGTAACAGTTTTACAAAAAGGAAGCTATATAAATTTCAAATACATAAAATATTAGTTTTAATTATTTTGAAAAAAAAAAAAATAAAACTAAAATTTTATTTAAACATTCTGCTATTTAGTAATGTTTTTTTTTTTTAATATAAAAGTAGTATTTTACTATTTAGTTTGAAAGGCTGTTTGTTGGTTGGTTGTTTGTTTTATGTGTTTTGAGTTATTTTTGTTTTTTAATTAATTGTTTAATTTAATAGAATTAGTTAAATATTTAAAAGTTTTGTCTAATTATGTTTAAATTATAAATATAAATTGAATTGAAAAAGTCTTTAGGTTTGGTTTTATGCAAATTATTTAATTAATTAATTTTTTTTTTATAAAATGTTTTAAGTTTTGTAGTTTAATTATGTTTTATAGTCCCTACTACATGTTTGTTTGTTTGTTTAAGATACTTAGTTTAGTGTTTTATATTGGGTGGTTAGTTTTAATAATTTATACTACTTTAATTATTTGTGGTTTTTATTATTATTTATTATTTACTATGTATGTAAGTAGATTTTTATAAAATTTGTAAGTTTTGTTTTTGTTTCGTTTCAAAGTATTTAGTTTTGCATTTCTAGGTTTTAATTAGCAATATCAGTATGTAGTTGTTTTTTTGTTTTACTATGTTGATTATTTTGTTTTGAATTTTTAGTTTTAGTTTTTGATTAATTTTTGTTTTTTTTTTTTTTTAATATATATATTTTTGTAAACATCACATTTAAAAATTAAAAAAAAAAAATAATAAAGAAAAATTCTTATTAATTTTTTTTTTAGAAAAAACTCTTAAAGTTAAGATAATTAAAAAAAAAATTTTTTTGAAAGAATGGCACTTAATTTAAAAAAAAAATAGAAAAAATACTTAAGGGAATTTTAAAAATTGTCATAATTTTTTAAAAAATTTTAAAAAGTTATAAAAATTTTAATATCAAAATTTAATATATAAAAAAAATTTAGATCTACAGAAAAATCTGTTTTATTAAATGTTAACAAACTAATCCCTTTATCTTCTAATTTAGAATTTAGAAAATAAAGGTTTCAATAAAAAAAAAATATTTAAATAGCTGTAAAATTATAACAAAATATAAAAGTTTTTAACTTTTATTTACAATCTGTTGAAGTTATTTACTTTATTTTTTCATCTTATCCTTTACCTCTAAAAAGAACCTTAAACATATAACCAATACCCAAAGAATTAAAAGTCTAGACCTGAAATAAAGAGTAATTTTCTAAAATTACACAATTATAAAAAAATATATATAACTGAAATCGTATTGGGATTTGTGACTTGGTTAAAGCAAATTTAAAAGGCATCTATAATCTGAAGAATAAAGTCTATAGTCTATAGCAAGTCTCTAGTCTAGACTATAGACAAGTCTATAGTCTAAACTATAGACAAGTCTATAGTCTAAACTATGAACTCTACAGTCTGAACTATAGACAAGTCTATAGTCTAAACTATAGACAAGTTTATAATCTGAACTATACACTAGTCCATATACTGAACTATAGACAAGCCTATAGTCTAAACTATAGGCAAGTCTAGAGTCTAAACTATAGACAAAGCTATAGTCTCAGCAATAGATAAAGCTATGGTCTCAACTATAGTCAAGTCTATAGTCTAACCTATAGACAAGTCTATAGTCTAAACTATAGATAAGTCTAAAGCCTAAACTATAGACAAGTCTATAGTCTAAACTATACACACGTCTATAGTCTAAACTATAGACACGTCTATAGTCTTAACTATAGACAAGTCTACATTCTAAACTATAGACAAGTCTATAACCTTCACTATAGACAAGTCTATAGTCTGAACTATACACAAGTCTATAGTCTGAACTATACACAAGTCTATAGTCTGAACTATACACAAGTCTATAGTCTGAACTATACACAAGTCTATAGTCTCAACTATAGACAGGTATATAGTCTCCACTATAGACAAGTCTATAGTCTCAACTATAGACAGGTCTATACTCTGAACTATACACTAGTCTATAGTCTCAACTATAAACAAGTCTATAGTCTTAACTATAGACAGGTCTATAGTCTTAACTATAGACAGGTCTATAGTCTCAACTATAGACAGGTCTATAGTCTCAACGATAGGCAGGTCTATAGTCTCAACTATAGACAGGTCTGTAGTCTCAACTATAGACAGGTCTATAGTCTCAACTATAGACAAGTGTATAGTCTAAACTATAGACAGTCTGTAGTCTAAACTATAGACAAATCTATAGTCTAAACTATAGACAAGTATATAGTCTAAACTATAGACAAGTCTATAGTCTAAACCATAGACAGGTCTATAATTGTCTAAATTATAGACAAGTCAATAGTTTAAACTATAGACAAGTCTATAGTCTAAACTATATACTTGTCTATAGTCTAAACTATAGGCAAGTGTATAGCTGAACTATAGACAAGTCTATAGCTGAACTAAAGACAAGCCTATAGTCTAATCTATAGACAAGTCTATAGTCTAAACTATACGCAAGTCTATAGTCTACACTATAGACAAGTCTATAGTCTGAACTATAGACAAGTCTATAGTCTAAACTATAGCAAGTCTGAACTATAGACAAGTCTATAGTGTAAACTATAGACAAGTCTATAGTGTAAACTATAGACAAGTCTATAGTCTAAACTATAGACAAGTCTATAGTCTAAACTATAGACAAGTCTATAGTCTAAACTATAGACAAGTCTATAATTGTCTAAATTATAGACAAGTCAATAGTTTAAACTATAGACATATAGATTGTCTAAATTATAGACACTATAGACAAGTCTATAGTCTAAACTATAGACAAGTCCAAAGTCAAACAAAAGACTATTCCATAACCTAAGCAAAAGACTAGTGTCCGAACTAAAGCCTAGACTGTCCTATAATCGGAACGCTAATTTTTGCCACAAAAAAAAGCTAAAACTAAGCAAATAAACTAAATCCATCTAAACCAAGTCTAAACTGTTAAAATAAAATTGTTTACACAAATTTCAGTTTTCTGTTAAGTCGTAACTATTAATAAAATATTAATTATAAGATATTATTAATTTCACATAAAGCCTTTTCAAGTAATTGGTGTCTGAGTGTTAAATAAAGAAATAAATTAAAAAGTAAAACTGGTAGAAAAATTTTCCAAAGAGGTAAGTTTGTGTTATACATGTAATAATAATAATAATTTGTTTGTTTTTTTTATAATGATATATAGTTTTTGTTAATAATATATCATAAAGCTAAGCCTAAACTCAGAGTTTTAATACATACATATGTTTTTAAAAACTTTACTTTTTTTATGATTTTAGTTTAATAATTTGTTGCTTTGTGGGTTTTGTTTTTTTTTTATATTATAAGTAATTACTAAAAAAAATTTAAAATTATTTAAAAAAAATACTAATTAATAATATTACTATATAAGTATAGATTTTTGTATGATTTGTTTATAATATAATAAAGTAAATTTAACAAATTTGTTGTTTATATTTAGTACACATTTAGGTTCATTACTTTTTTTTTTGTTTTATTTTGGAGGTATTTTGAAATGTTAGCATTTAGTTTGTTGATTGGTATGATTTTGTTGTTTACACTGCTTTTGTTTTGTTGCTTTAAATTAGTTTTTGTTTTTTTATTTATTTTATATATTTTATAATTAAAAATTTTATTTTACATTAATTTGTGATACTAGAGATAATTATATAATATGTTTTGTTTTTGTTTTTTTTTTTTTTTAAACTTACATTTATGATAAATAACAAAAAAATTATTTTTAATATTGAAAAATAAACTAGGAAAAACATAAAAAATTTTAAACAAACTCTTTAAAAGGGAAAAACAACAATTAAATAGCAAATTGAGAAAAAAATTAATTAAAAAATTCATTTATATAAGAAGACTTTAGTGTGGTGATTATTTAAGAGATTCAAGAGAGAGCTCTGGTTTGGAGTTTTTTTTTCTCTTTTTTTTTTTGGTAACAAGTTTATAAGTTTAACATAGAATTATTATAAAAAAAGGAAGTTTCTAATTAGTATTAAGTTTTTTATATAATTTGTTTTTGGTTTTGGAAATAGAACATTTTTGAAATGTTTAGGTATTTTGTATACATTGTGTTAAGAGTTCTTTAATATAAAATTTAAAAAAAAAATACAACAAAAAATTTTATAAAGAAACATTTAAATGTTGGAATAAGTAAGAAAATTTTAAGAAATTTTATTTTGAATCATAAGTATTTTGTTAAAATATTTGGCTTAAAGTTTTAAGGCTTAGAAACAGTAACTTGCCCTTTACTCTAAATATATCCTTTAACAGTTTTGAACCTTTAACAGTTTTATTCCAAATGATACACTAAACGGGAAACTGTATAATGAACCATAGTTTGTAGTTGCTCTTTCCTGTAAATATATCCCTGTAAACCTTTAACAGTTTTGTTCCAAATGATAGACTCAACGGGAATCTGGATAGTGGATCAGTAATTTAAAGGATAGACTAATCTAGACTTTAGCTTAAACCCAAAACCAGTCTAAAGTCTAAAATTTTCACAATAAGTAAGTTTATAGTCTGAACGCTAGACAATTACGTGAACAATAACCTAGAATACAGTCTAGACTAGAAACTAGTGGAGGATATAACGATTTATAGTCTGAATAGTTCTATAATCAGAAAAAACAAGTCCGTTAGACTAATCTCGAGTCTGAACGAATGAAATCTAAAGTCAGAATGATAGTCCGAAGGAAATATTAGTCTATAGACTGAAAGATACTTTAGTCTGAACGTCAGAGTATTCTAAAGTTTCAACAACTAACTTGATTTTGTCTGAACAAGAGACAAGATAACAATAGTCTATAGTCTGAACGAAGGACTAGACTATATTACGAACAATAATTTGGTCTAACCAACAGATTATTATATAGTCTGAACCGTAAGCTGGTCTTGCCAGAACAAAAGACTAAAGAACAAACTGAATTGTTTAAAAAAACTATCAATAATTTAGAAAATTTTGTTGATAGCAAAAGTTTTGGGTTAAAAAAACAAATTAAAAAATAAAAATAACTGTCAGTTTCAGAAATTCGTAAGATTTTCATTTCCGGAAACAAGGATCTGTTAGAAAATTTTATAAAACTCCAAACATTCTTTGAAATTTTATAAAGTTAATAAAATGTAAGAAAATTTGGTTATCTAAATATTACTATTAAAAATATTTCCATTTAAAACTATAGTTAGCATAGTCATGGAAATTTTTGAAAGAAAAGTTTTAAATATTTGGAATTCACGAGTAAAATTCTGTAAAAAAAAAAGAAGAGAATTTGTATTCAATGGACTTGTTGGGAGTGGGTCTTGTTAGAAGACAAACCTTCTCGATCTGCGCTTGATCTAGAGATGGATCATGATCTATATTGAATCTTCTAATAATGTTTAAAGAAAATGTGAAAAGAAATTAGATCTTTGTTTGTTATTACAACTTGTTTTGAAATCCTAAAGGATCAGCGCTTGATCTATAGAGGGAGCATGATCTATATTGAATCTTTTAACGATGTTAAAAGAAAATGTGAAAAGAAATTGGATCTTCTAACAAGACTAGAGGCAAATTTTTACAAAGTTTTTTGTTATTGCAACTTGTTTTGAAACCCTAAAGGATCTGCGCTTGATATATAGAGGGAGAATGATCTATATTGGATCTTGAATCTTGTGAAAAGAAATTAGATCTTCTAACAAGACTAGTGGCAAATTTTTACAAAGTTTTTTGTTATTTCAACTTGTTTTGATACTATAAGAGATCTGCGCTTAATATTTAGAGTTTTTTCTTATTACAACTTGTTTTGAGACCCCAAAGGATCTGCGCTTGATCTATATAGAGAACATGATCTGTATTGAATCTTTTAACGATATCAAAAGAAATGATGAAAAGAAATTGGATATACCAACAATTCTACTAGAAAGTTTTACAAAGTATTTTGCTATGGCAACTTGTTTTGAAACCCTTAAAGGATCTGCGTTTGATCTATATAGGCAGCAAGATCTTTATTGTATCTTCTAACGACATTTATGTAAAGAAAATTTTTTAAGGAACAAACTTTGGGTATGATCATCACTAGATAGATATGGTTATAGTTTAAACAATAGGCACAAGCCAGCCGATAAACTTAAAGTTCTAACGAAATACTAGTCTATAGTGCAAACGATGGATGTCTTTATTAAAAATGAAAAAGTTGCCTAAAGTCCGAAACATCAATTAGTCTACTGTCCGAACGACAGACTACCCGATAGATGACTAGTTTATAAGTACAGGTTCCATTTGTAGTAAATGATAAACTTGCCTATAGTCCGCAAGACCAATTAGTCTTCAGTCCGAATGATAATCTAGTCCTTAGATGACTAATCTATAAGAAAAGTTCCATTTTAAATGAAAAACTTTAGGGACCAATTAAACGGTTTTAAAGGCTGATTTCAATGCAGTAAACTGGTCACAAAGTTTCTTTTTTATATATTATTCAAATAAATTAAAAAAAAAAAGTTCAAGAGTAAAAGATAAACTTGGGTATAGTGCTTAAAAACGATTAGTCTCCAATCCGAAAGATAGTCTAGCCCTTAGATGACTAATTTGTTGTTGCATTTAGAGTAAGGGAACCATTTTATATGAACAACTTTAGGGGCCAATTAATCGTTTTCAAAAGCAATTGTAAGCTTTATATTTACAAATTTTATATTTTTACAAATTTTCTTTAAGGAAAGTTTCATTTTGAGACAAATTTCCTCTAAAGGTTCAATATTTATAGAAAAATTTGAAAAATTATGTTAAAATTATTCAAAAATAAAGATTTTTGTAAGACCTGGAAGAGAATCTTTTGGAGTATAGTAACAGGCAGTTCTACTAGTTTATTTCAAATTAAAATTATTATTTTCAATAACAAAAGCCTTCTTTAAGCCAAATATTTTTAAATTTCTTTCTTAAAAATTTCAAACAAAATTTAACAAAAGCAAAAAAGAAAACATTTCAATAAACAAAATACAAAATTAACAAAAAATACATTTTAAAAAAAGGAACAATAATGTTTAATGATTACTAATTAAGTTGAAAACCAAGTTGAGTTCAGTTTAAGAGAAAGATAGAGAGAGAGTGAGAGAAAAACTTAACATTTTATAAATTCATAAGATAAACAGGGAACAAGGGCAGGTTTTTTGGTTATTTAGTTTAATTTAAAAAACAATTCTCTAAGTATTTATATAAATTTAATATTTCTTTTAAAAATTTCGTTGCATTAAGTGGTTTATTTTCTTAAGGATATTTGGTTTTTTTTTCAAATAGTGATTGTAAAATGAATGATTAGAGAGGAGTTGTAAGAGGGTCAGCAGCAAGAATTTATGATTATTTGGCTTTTACCAAGAAATTTTAGGAGTTTTGCTTAAAGTTGTTGTTTTATATATAATATTTCCTCTATACACAGTAAGTTTTTTAGTAATTAAATACTTTTTATATATTATATTGTAATTATAACTTTCACAAGCAAAAAGGTTTAAGGAAGAAGAGGATTTTAGCAGATTTTGTTTCATTTTATGTTTTTGTCTTAAATCTTTAGCTGTTATTTTTTGGTTATTATTTTCATTTGAATACTTTTTTCATTTTGAATAATATGTAATAATGTTTTTTTCAATTTTTCTTTAATTTTAATATAAATTTTCTGTTTGTAAATGTTTAGCTGAGTGTAAGTGTATTTTTTTTTCTTGTAACGATAATATTACTTGTGTAATGTTTAAGTTTTGCATAAAAACCTTTTTTTTTGGGGGAGTAATTTGTTTTCAAATTTAATTAAATTTAAATGATTTATTCAACATCATCCTCATCATCATCATCATCACTTTCATCACTTGTGCTTGTTATATAATCATAGAAATTGAGTTCACGTTGATCAAGAAATTCATACAGATAGATCTACAATGAGAAAAAGAAAAGAGAGATGAAAGAGTGAGTGAAATAAATTAAATTAAATAAATTAATAAAATTAATTAAAAATATTTTAATAAATAAAATTAAACTTAAATAATATGAACAACATAACTCAATAATTCAAAATTATAGCAGAAAACTAAATATAAAACTGAACACAAATTGTAATTGATTTTCTTTTAGTATCTCAACGCTTACTATTTTTATAAAAATATTTTTGTTTTAAGTTTAATTTTAGTTTAAAATTTTTTTACTCTCTAGTTTTTGTCTAGTGGGAACACATTTTAATTTAATTTTTTTTATATATACATTTGAATTGCTTTAAATTATCGTACAATACTTAAGGGTTTAATAATTTTTCTAATAAATTTATTTCTAAATCTTAATTTTTTTAAATTTTCAAAATTTAAAAAAAAAAAATTTTAAATTTTTAAAAAAATTTTTAATATTTTAATAATTTTTTTTTTTTCTAAATTCTTAATAGTTTTTTGAAAATTTTTCAATATTTCAATATTTTGAAATTTCTTTAAAATATTTTCTGAAACTTCAAAATTTTTTTGAAATCTTTTCATCTTTTTAAAAATTTTAAATATATTCCAAATATTTTTAAAACTTTTTTAAATTTTTCAATTTTTAAAACTTTTTTATTTATTCAATATTTAGAGAACTTTTTAAAAAAATTCAATATTTTTTCTAAAATTTAAAAATTTAAATTTTTGTTCCAAAATTTTTAGTTTTTTTTTAAACTTGCAAAAATTCATATTTTTTTTATTAATTTCAGTCAAATCATCAAATTTTAAAAACTTTGTTATTTAAAAAATCAAAAATTTGTTATTTTAAAAAATTTTCAACATTTTTTATTTTCAAAAAATTTTCCCAATTTTGTAATTTAAAAAAAAAAATCAAAACTTTGTAATTTTTAAAAATCTTAAATTTTGTTTTAATTTTCGATATTTTAGAAATATTTAGCTAAATTATTTAAACATTTTGAAATTGATTTAAAAATTATCAAACTTTAAAAAATTTAATTTTCAAAATTTTGTTATTTCAAAAAATGTTTCCCTATTTTGCAATTTTAAAAACTTTGTAAGAATTTTAAAAAATATATTTTTTTTTTTGTTAAAATATTTAATATTCTCGGAATTTTTTTAACATTTTTAAATTATTCAAACAATTTTTAATATTTGTTGAAAATAATAATTAATAATAAAAAAGTTTAAATTTTGCTATTTTTTTTTTCTAAATTTTCAACGTTTATTTTGTAATTTTTAAAAACATTTTGATTTTTTTTTTACATTTTCGAAATTTTAAACATTTTAAAATCTGCTCTAAAATTTTGCTTTAAAAAAATTTTATATTGAATTTTTTTCAATAACCACCCAGCAAAAAATAATTGATGTCATACTTTACAAACTACATCTTAATCACATCTTAAAATGCGATTTCATATTTTTCACTTTTATAAACCAAATATTTCCTTACAAATGACACCCCAGTTAAAAGTGAGGAAAGAGATGTGGAAAAGTCATTACAAATAACATATTTGAAGTACATCAAGATTTGGTGAAAGAGTTGTGAAATTTACATAAGCGTGTCATTAAGAGAATGTGTTTTATTTTTGACATCCAAATATCGGATTTTTACTGCTTCTAAAAATAAGATCAGATGTAGTTCAAACCTGCCAAAAATGAACAACATCCCTCCAATGACACGCTAATGTAAAATTCATAGGTTTTACACCCGAATTTGAAGCACTTCGGGTTACTAGTTGTGATGAAAATTCTACATCTTTTTCCACACTTTTTTTGCTGGGCAATATTTTGAATTTTTTTAAAAAAATTTCAATATTTTGAATTTTTTATAAAATTTCAACATTTTGAATATTTTATAAAATTTTAATATTTTGAATTTCTTATAAAATTTCAATATTTTGATTTTTTTATAAAATTTCAATATTTGATTTTTTTATAAAATTTCAATATTTTTAATGTTTTCTAAAATTAATTAAGTTTTTCTAAAATTTCAATATTTAAAATTATTTTAAAAATTACAATATTTTGATTTTTTTTCTAAAATTTCAATATTTCGAACTTTATCCAAAATTTCAATATTTTGATTTTTTTCTAAAATTTCAATATTTTGTATATTTTCAGAATATTTAAATAATTTGAAACTTTTCTTAAATTTCAATATTTTGAAACTTTACTTAATTTTCAATATTTTGAAACTTTTCTTAAATTTCAATATTTAATTTCAATATTTTAAACTTTTTTTCTAAAATAATATATATTTTGATTTTTTCTAAAATTTCAATATTTTGAATTTTTTCTAAAATTTAAATATTTTGAATTTTTTCTAAAATTTAAATATTTTGAATTTTTTCTAAAATTTAAATATTTTGAATTTTAATGTATTAATTTTTTTCTAAAATTTTAATATTCTGATTTTTTTTCTAAAATTTCAATAATTTGATTTTTTTCTAAAATATCAATATTTTGATATTTTTCTAAAATTTCAATACATATTTCAAATTTTTAAGACTTCTTTTTTTAAATATATTTTTTTGTAAATTAAATATTTTGCACTTTTTCTAAAATTTGAATATTTTGAATCTTTTCCAAAATTTCAATATTTTGAATATTTTCCGAATATTTCAATATTTTTCTAAAATTTTAATATTTTGAAATTTTTTAAAATTTCAATACATTTTGATTTCTAAAATTAAAAAAAAATCAAAATATTGGATTTTTTTATTTTTAATATTTCAAATTTTGAAACCAAAAGTTTTAAAATTTTGAAACTTTCCAAAAAAAAAACATAATATTAGTTACTTAACAGTTGTATTTTGGATTTGAGATCAATGATTTTTGTTCCAAATTGATTCTGAGAAAGCGATTTGGTTCTTTAATCAAAGGTTTTGTCACTCTCGAATCTAGTTCTAAAGAACCTTTTGAGCAGATTTGACTAGATTTATAGCAATTTTTAAAGAAGAATTACTGCAAATTCAGTTTTTGATAATTTTAAAATAAACTTTTTTTTAAACTTAAACAAATTTAAACAAAAAATCATAATTTCTTAATTAATAACCATTAGCATTACTTTAGCTTAAAAGTAGTTGGTTTCCTTTTTATCATTTTTATTTTTAATTTTTTTTTTAACAATAATTGCTTAATAATTATAGTTCAACTGTTCATATTATATTATTTATATAGGTGGCAATGATGTTTGCTAAAATTCTACACATAAGTTTTGAAAACCATTTTTTTAATTTGTTTATTCTTTTAGTGTATGTGTTTAATAATTGAAGCTTTAGTTTTTGGTTTCAATAATATTGTTAGACGTTGTTTAGAAGGATATCACACCTGTTGTTAAGTGGTAAAGATAATTTTGTTTTTTAAGAAAATATTTAAAAAATATTTGTCAAAAAAGAGCAAAAAAAATCGACAATTGATTAACAACAGAGAATAGGAAATTTTTTGTTAGAATATACACAAAACAATTTAGATTAACAACGACATAGAAAATGATAAACATAAAAAATGCTCAAGAAAGTGCTTTATAACAATTATAAGATTGTGTGAAAAACTAATTTTATATAAAAATTTTTAAAATAAGATTTTAAAACAAAAAAGGAGCCAAGTTTAAAGACTGCAAAAACGATAAAAGTAAAAGATTGTTGTTGTAAACTTTACAAAAAAATATTCTAAGAAATTCCTGAATAATTATTCAGAAAATATGAAATTATTTAGCCGTTTCCGTTAAAAGTTTCTAACTATTAAAAACAATGATTCATTTTTAACAGGAGTCACGTTTTTGTCATTATAGAAAACACCTTCAACCATAAACTTAGCTCTTTTTTTACTCACAGTTTTAGGTGTTTATATATAAAGTGTAAAAAATTATTAGAAAAATATTTCATACTCACATCAAGTAAATTCATAATTTCATTATTACTGCGATGCAATTTACGAGCCTTTTTGGGACAGCCAACATCAACTAAATCCCCATTGGGTAAAGCATGTTTATAGAAACATTTATTACCAAAGGGACATTTGCCATCACCCTGAAAATTAAAAAGAAAATATATATTATACAGGAGAAACAATGTAATTAAAATTAGTTAATAGTGAAATAGTCTATAGTTAAAATTAGTCTAGTGACTATAGTCCTCAATATTGTCTATAGTCAAGACTATAGTCCATAGTTCATAATATAGTCTATAGTCCAGACTATAGTCTAGTTTGTTGTCTACGCTATAATCTAGTATATGGTGCAGACTATAGTCTAGTCTAGGGTCCAGACTATAATGTAGTGTATAGTCCAGACTATGATGTAGTCTATAGTCCAGAATATAGTCTAGTCTATAGTTTAGTATATAATCTACCATATAGTACAGACTTTTCTATAGTCTAGTCTATAGTCCAGACTAAAGTCTAATCTATAGTCCAGACTAAAGTCTAATCTATAGTTCAGACTAAAGTCTAGTCTATAGTCCAGACTAAAGTCTAGTCTAGGGTCCAGACTAAATTCTAGTCTAAAGTCCAGACTATACTATAGTCTATAGTCCTGGCTACAGTATAGTCTATAGTCCAGTCTACAGTATAGTATATAGTAGTCTATAGTCCAGTCTATAGTATAGTATATAGTCCAGACTAAAATCTAAAGTCCAGACTATAGTATAGTCTATAGCCCAGACTATAGTATAATATATAGTTCACACTTTAGTCTATAGTCCAGACTATATTCTACTTTATAAAGCAGACTATTGTATAGTTTATAATCCAGACTATAGTTTAGTCTATAGTTCAGACTATAGTCTAGTTTATAGTCCAGACTATAGTCTAGTTCATATTCCAGACTATAATCTAGTTAATAATCCAGACTAAAGTCTACTGTAGTAATAGTCCAGTCTATAGTCTAGTTTATAGTCTATATTGCAGACAATAAATAGTCTAAACTATAGTCCAGACTATATTCTAACCTATAGTCTAGATCATAAGATTTTCTTTAGATTAAATAATATAAAACTTACCTTTTTAAAGTACTTGCAGTCTTTGATACCAAGTGCTTTACGATAATCACCTAAAAGTTTATCCTTTTCCTCTTTTGTTTCCACCCAAAAGGCACTAGGACAAACAAAATCTGAAGCAACACGGCATTCTGGACAAGATCTGTAACAGAAAATGAAAACATAACAAAAAACATAACAAGGAAATTAAACAAATAAGAAATACAGAAGGACGAACAGATGGATATAGTTAAATAAACTCAAAAAATTATTCTGATACTTCTCGTGTAACATCTATAGATATTTAAGCTCACCTGGTAATTTTATGTTCAAATTGTTTAGCTTGACGCCATTTACGTATACATTCTAAACAAAAGATATGATTACAATTGGGCAGTATGCCAAAACGTTTCTCTCGACCAGCTTTTTCCATAATCGTATCGAAACAAATACCACAGGTTTTATCTTTAGAACGTGCAATGGCAAATGACAATTCCATGGCCTGTTCATGCTGTTGCAGACATTCTTTTTTATGTTTTTTACGTTGCATTTCATCTGAGGGATGTAGACAAAATTGATCACACATTTCACACAATTCTAAGTGTATGGCATAGGCACAATACATGCCATAGGGGCAAGTGCCTTCGAAGGGGCAAATTTCATTGATAGAAGCAGATTCTTGCATTGTTAGAATTGGTCCCGCCATGCGAGAAGCCGAAGCACCGACCACATCAGCCCAAGAACGTTGTTCCATGTTGTCTGCTGTTGTTATTGTTGGCAAGATTTCGCCGCCCGAATGATCTGCTTTGGGTATAAATACGGGAGCGTTGGCCCAATTGTGACGGCTAGTGCTGGGACGCTCATGAGACATTGCTGGTGGTGTGGCGGTCGTTGTCGTTGGATTGTTTATGATTTCTCCACCAGTTAAGTCATGTGAAAAACGGCACATTGACCCGAAACGACAAATACCACGTTGAAAATAGCGACAAATGGCGGGATTTAAAGGCAGGTGTGAAGTAGTTGTTGAAGATGAAGTAGAGGCATTGACATTTAATTCGCCAGTCTCACCAGTATTCAGATTTGTTAAAAACGTTGAGGTGGTGGTGACTGGTGAAGAAGCAGCAACGGCAGCAGCAGCTTCACTTGAACTTGAAGGCTCTAAAGACAAAGCAGCCGTAGCTGTGCTTAAAGCTGCAGTACTCATTGTAGTATGTTGTGTTTTTAGTGGTGGTGGTTGTTGTTCTTGTTTGTTATTATTTGTTATATTAGTTTTTCTCTTCTTTTGCTAAGAAACAAAGATGTCCTTGGTTGTCTTTGTTCACAAACTGAACTCACGCACACACAAACACTTACAAAAAGGATTCGCGCAGTCAACAAAAAATATTGTTCATACAAAGGAAACGGATATAAGGTCTTTTGTTTTGCTACTTGTTTAGAACTCCTTTAAAAATTCCTTTGGCCTTGCTTCTGTTTTTTTCAACACTGTTGATGCGCGACTGCATCCACAACGTGTGGAAACTGGAAAATAACAAAAACAATTTTATATTTCACAATTTGTTTAAAAACTTTTTATTTGTAATTTATTTTTCTCTATGCGCTCAAACGCATAAATATTTATAAACATTTAAGGTGAAGTCAATATTTCTTCTCATTTTTTTCCTACTCATATACAATTTTTGTTCAATTATTTTTGCACAATTGGAAAAAAGTTTATTTTTGTTGTAAGCACCCACCATTAACTTGAGAAATTAAAAATGTTCTTCATTTCTACTGGTATTTAAGTTTTTCTTCTTTAATTGCTTATTTTCTTACCTTTATTTTAGCAGTATAACAAAGTTTATTGAATTTTTTCTATGAAAATTTATGCTTTTCGTTAATTACGTTTTCATGAACAACAATTGCGTTTTGATGAAAATTTTAACCACAAAGCAGGGTGCACCAGAGCCCTGCGTCGACAAATATTAACGGCGGTGGCGACTGACACTAAATATGTCGGCGGCGGCGGCTTTAAATCGACTGTAAGCCGGCTAAGTTTTCAACTACGTTTAGTTTTTAAATTTTCAACGATTTTAAATAAAAACGGAATCCGAGAGATCAGAAAGTAGGATTTTGGAAGCAAATATATTGTTTATAACAACAAAACAGAGCAAGCTCAAAAGTTGCGTGAGAAATTATGCAGGGATGAATAAAAAATTCTTAAAAATTAAAAACCGATATTTAACCCTATCCTCCATATAAAACATCTTGCAGAAAATCAGTTTCTAAAAAATTTTGCGTTAAGAAAATGATCAATAACGTAAAAACAAAACAAATACAATTGTTTATTTACTAGCTATACCCAGTGTACAGTGCTACCCTAAAAGCAATATAAATAAGAAACCCACTTAACGATTTTGATGATTCTAACTACAATGGTTTTCCAGATATACAATTTGTTACATATGGGAGATTCCACGCAAATTATTGCAATTTCGCCAATTATTCCGAACGTTAATTAAGATTTTAATTTAATCTATGAAAAATTTGAATAATCTAATAGTTTCCCAGATATACAAAATTTTATATTTAATTCATATGGGAGTGCCAAAATGTACCTTTTGAAGAACCAAAAAGTCCTTTTTACAGGTTCTCACTTAATCGGGGCTCTACATGCTTTCATGTTTCCAGGTTTAATATTATAGAAAATTCAAAAAGTTCCTTTTGAAGAACGAAAAAGTCCACTTTTATAGATCCTCAAGTGCTTAATTACATGTTTCTTAGTTCCAAGTCAAAAAAGTACCAGTCGAAGTACGATAAAGTACCAATAAGTCCCATTTTATAGATTCTCATTTACTCCGGACTCTACTTGCTTAATTTCATGTTTCTAGGTTAAATTTTATAGAAAACTCAAAAAGTACTTTTGTAGAACGAAAAGGTTCCGAAAAGTCCCTTAATTATTAATTTCATGTTTCGATTTCAATATCATAGAAAACTCAAAAAGTACCAGTTGGAGAATGAAAAAGTACCAAAAAATATCACTTGGTACCGGTGTTCCAAATAACACCCCATTAGCATATTTAGTGTTTCTTGAGTAAAATCAAATTTCTCGTTTTCACCCCATTCCATTTATTGTACGAAAGAACTAAAAATAATTTAAAAAATGTTAACGGTAGGATGTATAGTTTTAAAAACAGCATAAAATAAGTGCTGTCTAGTCTGTACGCTCTTAAACGTCAAAGAACTATAAACAAAAACTTGACATCACTTAAGTAATACCTATTCAAAAATATCGTGCTGTTTCGGAGTTAGAAAACTTTTCTTCGTTCGATTAGCAAGCACCAGGAAAAAACTCTCCGTGAAAATGTTCCAAAGATCCGCTGCCCAATTATTGGCTCCTGCCATCCGCAATGCCGTTCAACGTCGTTGCCAATCGGTGATCTCTTCACCACCCACCCAAAAAGTTTCTTTTGCTGTAAGTATCGCAAAATTTTGTTTATTATGTTCTTTATGACAATTTTGCATTTTTGAGAGGTTACGTAAACTTATGAAATGGTGACTACTTGAGGATATTATTTAATATTCTTTATTTTTTAGGAAAAATTGATCCTCGGCGGTGGTATGTGCTGTGCCTCTTTGGTCATTCCCGCTTGGGTTTTGTTGCACATCAAGGAATACCGTGGCTTGAAATAAGTACATGCAACCCGGAGTGTATGCAGCGCTAAGCTTTATAATTTAGTCAATAAATATGTTTTAAGATTGTAAAGTTCGAGAAACTGGTGAAAAAAATATATTTAAAAAGTGCTTAATGTGTTAAAGCGCTTATAAATCAAAATATTTTGTGTGTTTTTTATTTTAAATAGGGTATTTTTTTGGCCGCACAGTATTTTTTAGATTTAGGTTACATCTTTGCATGACTCAATTTGGATTATTGCTGACAATCGACATTAGTGAATATAACTTGTGTGTTATCGTCGTTTACGCACAAAAGGGAATCTACGGAAATTTATTCGAGTCAACCTGGTTGTTCCAACAATAATTACACGAGACTATTCGACGACACTTAAGAACTGTTACAACAACACAACTAGAGTCAAGGAGTTAATGCCCACTGATCCCTCGGTTAATGAATGCTGAATAAAGTTTAAAATGCAATTAAAATAAAAAAGTACTAGAACCTCTGTCCTTTAAAAATCTCTAAACGAATCAATAATTGAGAATATTTTTACGAATATGTATTATATTTTTATTAATAGCTGTAGCGTACGTGTGAAAGTGACCACAGAAATTCCTGAATTTACAAGTTCAATTGAGTCCCGGTCACATTATAGACACAAATATATGAATTATACAAAAAATTAAAGTAAAAATAAATTTAAGCATATATTAATGAATTCAAATTAATGGGTATTGAGGAATAAACTTTTGCGCTCCAAAGTTTTGTATTTATTGTTTATCCGATTTCTCGCTATCACCCTTTTTGTCTTTATCCTTGCTAAGAGAACCAACAGCATCACGTACGGCTTCAGACTGTGGATCTACACCGGGTAGATTTTCTAATACACTCTGTAGGAAGGCTGGATCGCCAATAACTTCGGAATAGTCTTCATCAACATCCATTGGGGCATTTTCTTCGGTTTTAGGACGTTTAGCTTGTTGTGTTACAGTTTCATCTTTTCGCCAAAGTTAATTGTTAGTTTTTATAAAATAAAAGAAAATATTCTAAACTTACCGGCATCTTGCATAGACATTTGCATGGCGAATGCGATTTGTTCTTCTTCAGTCATATTGGCAAAATCGGGCAAATTGTCATCGCTCTATAAAAAATCAAATTACTAAATATGTAAAAATCATACATACAATATGTAACACTAACCTGTTCTGTAGACATAGCCAAAGCTCTTTGCAACATGGCCTCCTCGGAGTTTGGTTCATCAACTGCTGCCGTTACAGCAGTAGAGCCTCCAGTGGTCGTCTTTTCTGTACTGCCTGCATCAGACTCTGCAGCACCGCCAGCCGCTCTACGCTGCTCTTCTTCTTGACGTTGTCTTTGTTCTTCCATGGAAACACGCAATGCTAAAGCCAACTCTGGATCTTCATTGGGATCAACACCAAATTCAAAACCAGCTCCACCCAAACCGGCACCACCCATACCATCTTCACCCTGTATAATAGGTGAGGACAAGAGAGCATCCGATAAACCAGATCCACGGGGTACACATACCAAATGAGAGCCGGTGCCATCCTTGCCATTTAGGGTATTAATAAATGCTTGCAAAATTTCATTGTTACACTCATGATCACCAAAGCTAACGATATCAACATTAACTTTTTCCTTCTTCAAACGTTTGGCCAGCTTAACCAATTCACCCTCCTCGTTTTTGATGGGCGAGCCAACGAAAACCACAATACGCATTTTATGATTTTTACCCTGGCGATGTTTTAAAACCAACTAAAAAGCAAACATTATAACTATTATTTTCGTATTAAAATACAAATTTTCAAATTAGAAAACTTACATGGGCAATGCGTACACCGGTTAAGAGATTAATCTCACCCTTGGGTTGCACCAAATGCATTTTAGAGAAAATGCGTCCCACATCGCTGGTTAAAGTGGCCAAGACTTCTACCGTGCTAAATAAATAAATTTTATTTTAAATGTTTATTTTTATACAAATGGCAACTTACTTGGAAATAGTCATTAGGCCGACATTGTTTTCGGGATTGGAGCGCACTTTGGTTAAGCACACCAAATTAATACCATCCTTCTGAACATTTAGACGAGTTGGAAAGTAATCACCATTACGCTGGTAATCACTGTTATCAAAACTGTAAGAATTATTAAAATAAATAACATTTAATGCAAAATTTTCTCATACAACAAAGAAGCGTCAACACAAACACTTTTCTTTCTTAGGGCATAACTATATATTTATATGGTTTTAGTAAAGGAATTTTAGATTTTCTCATAGCTTATGGATTAAACTTTAACTTTTCCATAGTTTTCGTTTAATTTATTAGTTATAATTATTATTATTTTAATAAAAATCTTACCATATCATAGTACTTTCCAAAACCATTTTTAATAATTTTGCTTGTCACTTTGCCACTGAACAGTAATTGCAAATTCATTTCAAATGACATTTCACTATTAGCTGTGTTTAGATGACTTGAAGAAATAAAAACAATTTGTTTTGAGGTTTTTTAGCTGTTACAGCTTTTGTATAGTTCATAACTGAGTATGGCAGCTTTATAAAGTCGCCAAGTTGCCAGCTGCGAGAAAATAATAAATTTGTTTATAATAAAATTATTATAATTATTACCATATTTTTTGTTATTATTTAAAGTTATTTGCTAGATTTAGTCCGATATTTGCCACACTTTGTTTTTTAATATGATTTTTTTCTGCAAATAGGCCTATTGTTAACTGGGGATGAGAACTGGAAAGATCTGTCAGCTGTGTTTATATTTCGTGTTTACGCGCCTAATTCGAGTCGCTGCTTTTACTTCAAACACTTTGTGTTTGTAGCAAACACGAGATACGAAAAATACTATGCTGTTTGACAAACCAGAGTTTCCTAGGTCGTCAAACAAATGTATTTTTTGGTACTTTTATACATATGTAGAGCCCGGAGTAAGGAAGAGCCTTTAAAAGTGGACGTTTTGGTATTTTTTCGTTCCTCAAAAGGTACTTTTGTGAATTTTCTATTATATTGAACCTAGAAACACGAAATTAAGCATGTAGAGCCCGGATTGTGAACGTATAAAAAGGGACTTTTTGGTACTTTTTCGTTCTTCAAAAGGTACTTTTTGAATTTTCTATGATATTGAACTTAGAAATATGAAATTAAGCACGTAGAGCTCGGAGTAATTGAAAACATATAAAAGATTACTTTTTGGTACTTTTTCGCTCTTCAAAAGGTAATTTTTTCGTTTTTTTGTTTTTTTTTTAATAATATTGATCCTAGAAACATGAAATAAGGCATGTGGAGCCCGAAGTTAATGAGAATCTATAAAAGGGCGCCCTTTGGTAATTTTTCGTTCTTCAAATGGTACTTTTTGAGTTTTCTATTATAACAAACCTAGAAACATAAAACTAAGCAATCAGGGACTTGACGGAATGAAAATTTAAACTGGAGTATTTTCTGGTACTTTTTCGTTCTTTAACTGGGCCCAAATCATGGCATACGATATCGATCGAAATCTTCATTTAGATTCTATTGAGATTTCGATCGATATCGTATGCCATAATTTGGGCCCTGAAATTAAATAAAATAGGTATTTTGGTACTTTTTCGTACTTCAACTGGTACTTTTTGAGTTTTCTAAAATATTGAATATATAAACATAAATTGACATTTTTGGGCATACAGAAAAAGTTAACTGGGAATGAGAACTAAACAAAATCTGGCAGCTGTGTTTATATTTATCATATGCCAACAACGTCATGTGACATCTAATAAGAAAAAGCAAAGTTGAGTAAAAATTTTTCAGTTTTAGTGGTCTGCTGTTTTTATTTTTTTGCTCCAATATTTTTCCCAAAAAAAATTAGCAAAACTTTGTTTTTTGATTTTCCTTTGTTTAATAATTAACAATAAAATCCCAGCAAAATGGTTGAAGCCTATGTAGCACCCACAGTTATTACCTGCATTTGGGCATTTATTGGTATTATCTGTCCCTTCTTTGCCAGAGGTCCCAACAAGGGGTAAGTTTTCCAAGTGTAATAAGAGATATTAAGACGAAATAATTAATGGTTAATGTATCTGGTTTTTCGTTGATAGCATAACCCAATGTTGTTTGATGTTGACAGCAGCTACCTGTTGGCTTTTGTAAGTTTTATTTTTGACTTATTCAAGGCCTTTTTTATAATTCCTTGTTTTTAATTTCTTTCTTTAGCTGGCTTTGTTGTTACATGACTCAAATGAACCCCTTGATTGGTCCCAAACTATCCATGAATGAAATTATGATCATTGCTCGTGAATGGGGTAATGAAATTAAGGATACCATCGACATTACCTACTACTAAAACGTTACTACCTTTTTTGGGGAGAGGACCAGCTAAGCTCATCCCATCGTTAAAATAGTTTTCACCATTAAAGCTGTATTATTCATTGTATTCCGTTTTATTTTGTTTGTTATTGTTTGTTTTTTCGAAAATTCCATCATGTGCCTTAAGTTTACACACAACTGAAAAGTGACCTTGAACAGATCAAAAGCACAAATCTATTTGTAATGAAGTAATAGTGTTATTTTTGCTAAAAAAAAGTTAAATATTTTATGTAAATTATTGTTAAAAAGCACAAATTTTTATGTGCTCAAAAAATATGTTAATAAAATATACAAAATTTTAGTTTTTTTGTTGGAAAGTATGATATATAATGAGAATGATCAACAAGTGTTTGTTTAAAACTCCTTAGTAGAAGAATGAATTTGTTTTGAGGGGATTCACCATCAAGATAGTAAAAAGAACTCAAAAAATTTATACATAATTGAAAAATTTAATTAGTTGTTTTTTAAATCTTTGTAAATGTAAACAAAGAATCATATTAATTTTTTTTGTTAATGATGATGATTCATCATTTTGTTTTGTAACGAAAAAACAAAGACGAAATGTTGACATTTAAAGGGCTGATTTTTAGTTTATTGTTTAACTTTATAGGTAGTTTAATTTAAACAAAGTTTTATCTAGAAACATCTTTCTTATAATCGAAATTTTACCGACAGCATTGGTCGCTAAATAGAAAATTATATTCAGACGACAAATAACTAGTGAAGTAGAGCGCTATTCCATTTCTTAGTTAGTTTTAAAGGATGACGTATGTTACATTAAACCGGAAGAAATACACCTGGACCAACATTGGGTCCGTTGTTCGTTTCTTTACCAGTATCTCTGGTAAAAATCGAACACTCGACCTCTGTTCTGGCAGACTAGACCATTAACTATTAACCTCTCCGGATGAGCACTATTACATTTTATAATTTTATTTATTATAGATATTTACCTTTTTTGATTACTGAGAGGTCATCACAAAATCCACTATATCCAATGATGTCAACAGCTGATTTGTTTACTTTCTCTATACAAGACAAGTTTGTTAAGTTTGGGGGTCAGATATACACCAAGAGATAACATTCTATAACTTGACCGGTCCCTGGTATTTCTCAGCAGCAGCTTGTAAAGGATTCTGACAATTCAGTCCGACGTGCGATAACATTACATTAACAGCTTTTGTATAAACTATCTACTACACCCTTGGAACGCGAGATCTGCCATTAAGATTCTAGCACTTTACCGCGGACTATAGATCACACTCTAGAGTCTAGACTAACCGGTATAATAAAATACTCAGACCTTAAACTAAATGCAACACTTTTGACCACCTTATAATCCAGAATTTAAACTGGACATCTTAGGACGGGTTTCTTACTGCGTGGCTTAACTTGCTGTTTTAGTCATAATTCAGGTCTGAGTTGGGAAACAACTCTCGCGTCATCACTATTATTTCTTACAGACGATTAGGCTTGTGTTTGTTGACAAGCTTTCGACAGAGATGCGTTTCACTCGCACGAATTGAATTTATTACTCCGTATAACTGTTTCCAAGTTATATATGCGTTGTTTGAATTAATATTGTGCTTTCGTTTAACCTGGTCAACAAATTACCGGGTTAATAAAAAAATAATTTGCCGTTATATTATATTCGGATCAAATTTAGGCGGAATTTACCCGGAGATTGTGTTTTTCATTTATGAATTAAAGAACAGTTAAATTAGTATTGCCAACTTTTCTATCAAAAATAATAAGTGATTATTTTATTGTTTCTGTTCATTGTGTTTTCTCCTTTATAACTTAGGCTTAATTGGCCAATAACACTTAGTTAAACTAAGATCATAAGTAACTGATTACTGAAAAACACAAAATATAGATTAAACTGGGTCTAAACAAATAATCTGGATTATCTTTATCAGAAAACCCCGCCGTTAATATCACTATTTAAATCAATATCTCTATTCAAAGCTGGCAAACTTCTTACTTAAGTTTAAACCAAGTAAAACAACTCCATTGCCAAACTAAAACCAAACTTAAAATAACAACAACAATCAAAATTTATGTAGTCTTAGGGATTACGATCTTTATTTTTTTGTAGTTTTGAAAGTTGGTAATTTCTAAACAGTCCAACGTATGCAGCAACTTGCCATTGGGTTTGTCAAACCACGACAATAATTTGCTACACCAGCCGATGCATAAAAATCACAGTTAGAATAACATTTTGTCAATTTTTCCAAAAACATCGAAATTAAAGCAAATCGTAATCTTTTCAACAAAAATACCAAAAAGATTTGGTAAAGTGTATTGTTGAAAGCTAATGTTGGGGTATTTAGTCGAAGAGACCGAAACCCATATCGTCGTCTTCCTCTTCTTCGGATTCTTCCTTTTTGGCTTCTTCCTTCTTTTCGGCAGCAGCAGCACCGGCAGCGGGAGCTGAGGCGGCGGCAGCAGCAGCGAATTTGCTGGGATCCTTGATGTACTCCTTGATGGTGGCGGCTTCCTTGAATTCGACTTCGGTGGTGGCGGCAATGGCCAACAAGTTCTTGAAACCGTTGGCAATGCTGTGAGGAGCGGAGGCGATGGTGGGGTATCCAATTTCCAAACAGACGGAGGCCAAGTTGGCAACACCAGCTTGGAACTTGGCGCGCAAGTCCTCGGGCTTGATGTCCAAGATCTCGGGGGAGAAGATGGAGCCAGAGTCGTAGACTTGGTTGACGATCAAACCGTATGAGAAGGGAGAGATGTTCAACATGTTAAGCAAGGTAGCTTCGGAAGCACCGACCTTGTCACCAGGCTTCAAGATGGGCACATCGTTGATAATTTCAATTGTACCCTTAGAAATCTTGGTTGGGATGGACAAAGCCTGGAAGAAAGAAGTCTTTTCGGGACCCAAACCGGTGTTTTGGGCAGGGATGATGACAGGCAAGGGAGCGATGGCACCAGCACGAGCGGGGGCACGTACCTTGGATTCCAACAACTTGTCGCGGATTTCAGCCAAATCGCCCTTGGTGAAGACGAAACCGACATTGCCTTTAATGTGGGGCAACAATTTTTCCAATTGGGCATTTTGTTCCAAATGACCACGGATGGCTTTACGCATCATAGTGTTCTTACCCATAAGGACGACACCCATGCCACGGAGGCTGGTACGGATGGTTTGCATTTGACGGGAACCAACATTGTCAGCACCGACGATGAAGCACTTGGGATACTCGTTGAAGAGATCCTAAAGGAATAAAAAAAGGAATTTAGCAAGAGGAACAAACAAGAAATAAACATAAATAATATGTTGGTAACATAATCAGACGGCTCCCAAAGAGCATTTTCTCAACCTCTAGTCTACCAGAACACCTGGGTTCAGCTTTTTCAAGCGGGGCATTCAGACGGCAAACATTCAGACGCGAATTTGTTTCATCATTTTTTGTTTATACACAACATTTTTAAAATAAAATTTGATACTTACGACTACTTTAAGGAAATATTGGGCTTTCCAGGCAGCTTTGTTCTCCCTAACCATCTTGATTCAAAATGTGAAATTAGGGACTCGTGAAAAATGAATTTAAGAACTGTAAATAACCAAAAATATTAAAATTAATAAACATGTTTGTGAATTATTAATAAAATTATAAAGCAATTTTATAAAATTTCCAATGGATGCTTTAAATATTTTAAGATTTAAAAAAAATTAAAAAATTTTACTCACCAAAGCTTAAAACGATGTTATAAGTTGACGTCTGCGACGAAAATGGACGATTTGTTGGCTATTTTTTTGACATTTCGTTTTCGTTCGTAAAATGAAAAAATGATGTAGCAACTGCAGCCAACTTCAGATTGTTTATGTTTAGAAAATTGTCTCACTGAACACACCCTTGATATTTTTTTGTGTATTTCTGCAGCCGGCTGCTTGAATCAAGCAAGATTTTTGCAATCTTTTCTAGAACTTGAAACAATTTGTGAAATTTTTGAAAATGACTGCATTTGAGGGTAATATTTTTGTTGTTTTTTCAAGAAATTGATAAAATTTTAACAAAATATTTTATTTTTATTTAAGAGTTTGGTGTTTTGCCAGAAATTGGCAAAGCCATAGATGAAATGGAATGGACGTAAGTTTTTTGCTTAAGGGAGGGTTGCAAGTAACAGTTTTTAATTGTTTTATTTATTTTGAAGACTACCCACCGATGTGCAGGCGGAGGCTATACCCTTAATTTTAGGTGGTGGCGATGTGTTAATGGCTGCCGAAACAGGCTCTGGTAAAACTGGTGCCTTTTGTTTGCCCATTTTACAGATTGTATGGGAAACCTTAAGAGATTTAGAAGAAGGAAAGAGTGCAAAAGGAGGAGGGGCTGCTGGCAGTGTGGCTGCCTGGACTATGTCCTTTTTTGATCGTGGTTCTGCCTTGGCTGTTACTCCTGATGGTCTGCGCTGCCAGTCGCGAGAATTTAAAGAATGGCATGGCTGTCGCTGCACTACAGGAGTGAAGGGTAAGGGAAAATTCTACTATGAGGCCACTGTAACCGATGAGGGCCTGTGCCGAGTGGGCTGGTCCACCCAACAGGCCCAACTAGATTTGGGTACTTGTCGCAATGGCTTTGGTTTTGGTGGTACTGGTAAAAAGTCAAACAATCGCCAATTCGATGATTATGGCGAGGCCTTTGGTAAAAATGATGTCATAGGCTGTTTTTTGGATTTGGAAAGAATGGAAGTTTCTTTTAGCAAAAATGGTCAACATTTAGGTGTAGCTTTTCGCATAGCCGACAATTTGCGCAATGAAACCTTTTATCCAGCGGTGGTTTTGAAAAATGCCGAAATGGCTTTTAATTTTGGTAGAACTGAATTAAAATATCCACCTAAAAATGGTTTTGTAGCTGTTTCTCAAGCAGGAGCACAACACTCTAAAGCCAATCCTTTGGCTAGTCCTTCCACAAATGCGGCAGCTAATAAACCTGCTCCCAATGCTCCTCAGGCCATTATAATAGAACCCAGCCGTGAATTGGCTGAACAGACTTATAATCAAATAGAAAAGTTTAAAATACATTTGTCAAATCCAAATGTCCAAACTCTGCTATTGATTGGCGGCGTTAAGCTGGAACAACAGAAGAGTGTGTTGCAGCAAGGTGTGCATATTGTAGTGGGCACTCCGGGACGCTTGGAGGAAATGATTAGCAGTGGTTTTGTGCAATTAACCCACTGCAGGTAGGATATTATGAGATCTTTTCAAATAAATTACCATATTAACGTTATGATTTGTTCAGATTTTTCGTTTTAGATGAAGCTGATGCTCTTCTTAAGCAGGGCTACACTGATTTAATAGATCGTTTACACAAACAAATACCCAAAATGACTTCCGATGGCCGTCGCCTACAGATGGTGGTGTGTTCTGCCACACTGCATGCTTTCGAGGTAAAAAAAATGGCAGATCGTTTAATGCATTTTCCCACTTGGGTTGATCTTAAAGGAGAGGATGCAGTGCCGGAAACCGTTCATCATGTGGTGTGCATGATTGATCCCCAGAAAGACACCATGTGGCATAATTTACGTCAACATATACGCACTGATGGTGTGCATGCACGCGATAATGTTTATCCCAATAATTTGACTCCGGAAACCTATTCGGAAGCGGTGAAACTATTGAAGGGAGAATATTGTATTAGAGCTATAGAGGAACATAAAATGGATAGATGTATTATATTCTGTCGTACGAAATTGGATTGTGATAATTTGGAGCAGTATTTAAGGGCTAGAGGTGGTCAACGTTATTCTTGCGTTTGTCTACACGGTGATCGTAAGCCGCAAGAGCGAAAACAGAATTTGGAACGATTTAAACGGGCCGAAGTGAAATTTTTGATATGTACTGATGTAGCTGCCAGAGGTTTAGATATTACCGGTTTGCCCTACAGTAGGTTTATTACCCTTTTAATTGGAATGTAGTCTAATCTATAGTCCAGACTATACTCTAGTCTGTAGTATGGACTATATTTTATTCTACAATCTAAACTAGCATCATGACTACATGTTGTACTCTTTATTATAGTGATTAATATTACTTTGCCGGATGAAAAATCGAACTATGTACATCGTATTGGTCGTGTGGGTCGTGCCGAACGCATGGGTTTAGCCATAAGTTTGGTAGCTACGGTGCCTGAAAAAGTATGTTATTTTTTATTTTTAATTCAAGTTTCAAATATAACATTTATTGCTCTCCTTAAAGGTTTGGTATCATGGCGAATGGTGTAAGACACGCGGTCGTAATTGCAACAATACTAATTTAACTGATATTAAGGGTTGCTGTATTTGGTATAATGAAAAGAATGTGAGTATGAGCAATTACTCTATAATTTTTAAAGATAATTTTTTAAACTTTGAAAAAAAAATTCTAGCTTTTGGCAGAAATTGAGGATCATTTAAATATCACTATACAGCAAGTGGATAAATCTTTGGCCGTGCCCCTTAATGATTTTGATGGCAAGGTGGTGTATGGTGAGAAAAATCTTAATACTGGCACCGGCTATAAGGATCACGTTGAACAATTGCAACCGGTTGTAAGAAAACTAACGGATTTGGAACTGCAATCACAATCTTTATTTTTGAAACGCTTAAAAGTCTAAAAATGCAGAAAACACAATATATAATCTCTCTCAACAAGTTAAGTGATCCCAATAATGTTAATCAGCATAAATATTTTTACGCCATTACAAACACTATTGCTGCTGCTGTTGCATTGAATTTAAATTATTAATTAAATTAGAAAAAAAATATTACAATACATACATAACTTATCAATTCTAAATAAAAAACTACAAATAAACACACATTTATATATTCAGTAGCCACTTTCCTCTTACTTTTTTTTAACAAACAAATGACCCCTATTATTAATATATAACGAGGTCATTCATATTGTTGAAAATCGACTACAAATTCCACTGAGTGTGGAGCTCTCTTTTGGTTTGGTTTATTTGCTAGAGAAAGTTGTCCAAGAGGGTTTGGTCGTTTTTATATGTAGTACTCCTTTTGCTTATTGTCATAATGTTACACTAAAGTTTTGGTGTTATTCTCTTGCTGCTCTTCCTCCTCCTCCTCCTCCTCTAAACCTTCTTCATCTTCCTCATTAAATTCAGTTCTCATTTGTTGTAATTGCAATAGTTGTTTACACAATTGATTGCCAAATGATTCTACATAACGTGGACTTATTTTATCTAATAAAGCATAAGGTGTTTCGAAAACTTCCTCCTCTTCATCGATTTCTGCTTTATCGCTATCGATAGTGTCATAGAGCTCGGAAACAATACGAAACCCTAAACTGGACACATGTACACAGTAAGCGGCTCCTTCAAACGTTCGTATATTAAGGTATATGTGTGATTCATTACTGGGCAATGTTTTCGAAATATCTATCTCTGCTACATGTGTCCTAACATCCTTAATTATAGCTGTAGCCTCTTCTACCCAATTTATGATTTGCTCACCGTTATCACTGTCATCTTGTTGTGTGTTAGAAGTGCTGGGGCAGGTGTTGGAGGGGGCGTTAATGTTCTCTGCAGCTGCGGGTGTTGGGGTAGCTGTCGTTTCAGAGTTCATAGTTTTATACAATATATCGGAAAGTATTTCTTTGTTTATTTGGTTTATGTCCAATTTTAAGTTTGGGTTTAATTAAAGGAACTATACACAGATGTTGCAACTTGTAAGCAAACACGAAAAAATTAATTAACAAGAAATTTGCTGCCACTGCTCGGGTGAAGAAAACCTGTTAATGCAGACGTCAAGGTGTTTTCAACAAGATGTGAGTAATAAATTCTAAATGTAAAAATGTTACTGATTTGTTTTTGTAATGTATATTTTAACTGTCTGTATTTGCTAATATTTGACAGTTTTGTTATACAGCAAAAATAAAAACTAACACCATCTTACAGAATTTGCATTGCCAGCTGTTGCAAAAATAACAGCTGGTAACACTTTAAACAAAATACGGAATAAAAATACCAGATTGAATTACTTTGAAGCAAAAACAAAGGTGACCAGATGATCCCTAAACAACTCAATCGAATTCTCCTAAATTTTTCTATATAACAGTATGACATTTTTCACAGTTAGCTAATTCTAGTACAAAAACAAAATACATGTTGTTTTTGTATTGTAGTCATGCTGTCACCTATCTAATTCTACCATGAAAACACTTATTAAAATTGTGTAAAGAACCCAACTCATAATATGGCAACACTAATCTACAGCTGTCATGTAGCATGTTCAGGCCGACATACTGTTTTGTTTATTTCTTACCGGGTGGACTCCACCAACACAAAGTATAATCTCCAGTGTCCACAAAAATGGAAAATAAAATACATTCTGCCTTAGAGTTACTAATAAACGAAGCTAATGACTTGTGTATTGGCACACAAGTAACTGAACTTCACGCCATCCCAGATGCCATTGAATTTGCCCGTGAATATTATGCCAAACAACAACCTGTGGTTATACGAAATGCTGTGGCTGACTGGCCGGCGGTGAAGAAATGGTCACCAGAGTATTTTAAACAAACTCTAAGTAACAAGCTAGTGGATGTGGCCATTACGCCCAATGGCTACGCTGATGGTTTGGCCATTAGATATGAGGACAAAAAGGAATATTTTGTTTTGCCTTTAGAGGAACAATGTACAATGGCAGAATTTTTGGATAATCTAGACAATCCCATGGGTGCTGTTTACTATATACAAAAACAAAATTCGAATTTTTCTTTGGATTTTCCCGAACTTAATCAAGATATTGATAGTTCTATTTTGGAATTTGCAGAAAAATGTTTTAATAAACCACCAGATGCTGTTAATTTTTGGATGGGTGATGAGAGGGCCATAACCTCTATGCATAAGGATCCCTATGATAATTTATACTGTGTTGTGGCGGGTTATAAAGATTTTATTTTACTGCCACCACACAGTATGCCCTGGATACCAAAACAATTATATCCCACGGGGGTGTATAAAAGGAATTTGGATACACAACAATATCATATAGAACCGGTAATGTGCGCTCAGGAGCACGAAAATGGTTGTAACAATGATCCCATGTTAACCGAATGGATAAGTATAGATCCCTTGGCTCCCGACCTGTTTAAATATCCACAATATTCAAAAGTTAAACCTTTGAGAGTACGGATGAGAGCTGGTGATATGCTGTATTTACCCAACTACTGGTATCATCATGTTAGTCAAAGTCATAAATGTATTGCTGTAAATTTTTGGTATGATATGGAATACGATAGTCGTTATTGTTATTATCGTATGCTGGAGGAATTGACAAAATCAAAATAGACGTTGTAAGAAAAAAAAAACGTAACTCAAGTTTTTTACTCCAACTTTGTACAACTATTAGCTGCGGTAATCAGTTTTTGTTCTTAATAAAATAAGCCTCGATATGGAGCACACAACTGGCCCGATGGACGCATGTATTTCTTCAGATATGATGTAACTATAATTTTCCTTTCAAACTAACAAACTATCAAATCGAATTCTTAGTGAAAAATCGAAATTGGAGTAAAATTAAGATATTAAGAGTAACCGTGGATAATCTATTATTTTATAAAAATACTATAAGACAACAACGCGAACTTGGTCCAGCTAATATATGGATATATTTTTTATAGGTTTTTATTAAAGGTATAGCAATAAAGTTATATGTGTTAAATACTTGTAAATATATTTAAAAAGATCAAAAGTAAAAACAAAATTTTTTGGGGGGAATGTTTTGTAAAGAAATGCAAAGTATCTTCGAAAGCCAATCAATCAAACTTGTTACATTTTCACATTTCTAATAATAAATAGTTATGTTTAAAATAGGTGTGTAGGAGCTTAAAGTCTAAGGGAATCGAATTTGAATTTGAATTGGTAATACTTCTAGGAGATTAATTACTCTTTCTCGGTGAATTCTGGTTTTTCACATTTCAAATCAGATTTTTCATTTGGGTTGGTCACCGCTTCGTGACCTTTCAAATTCATTAAAGGAGTTTCAGAATTAATTAAATCATTTGTTAGTTCTGTAGCATTTTTGGAATTTGTGTTTTCACGATTATTTTCAATATTTAATGAATGAGCTTCATCGGGATTTTCATTATTTTCATATTCAATGCCATTATTAGAGGTTTCAGTTTTAATTAGTATTAATGCTGGTGCTTCAGACTGATGATAAGTGGAGCTCACAGTATTATTCACTATGCTACCACTTCCACTGTTATTTAAGGAACAATTTTGATCGGCCTCGGCCAAGTCGCCATCATCTGTGTTTGCTGGTGGCAAATCATTTTGTTGCTGTTGTTGATTATTTGTAGATTTTGTTGTAGACTTACCTTTATCCGAGGACTGCTGCTGCTGCCTCTGCTGTTGTTGCTGTTGATTACCGAACAAGGTATTTTCCAAATATTTCTGATACCATCTTAAGAATTCATCTCTCTCCTTGGGTAATGATAATTTTTTGATTTTTGCATAAATTTTTTTAGGCGAAATATTACTGGCATTATTTCCTAGATTAATATTATGCGTTAGAGGTTGGGCATTTTGGGCCACAGTAGCTGTTAGTTTAGCAACATCCACTAATAAAGCATCATTGATTAAGGTGTTAGTATGGGTTTGATTGCGTATGCGATTGATAATATATTTGATAAGATCACATTCAGTGGAGTGATGTTGTTGAGCAGCAATTGCTGCAGTACTAGTACCGGAGGCGGCTGATTTTGGCGAATTTGTTGAAGATGAGACGTTTGTATCGTTTTTGTTTTCATTTTGCTGGAAATTAGGTACAAATATTGAGCTGAATTTAGTTTTTATTTAAAAATTTTATAATTTTTTATAAAATTTATCTGCTGAATAATCAAAAAAACTTAGCTGTATTGTATTTCATGCAGCTGAATAGGAAATTGCTCAGCTGAATTAGAATTTTGTTTAACAAATTATTATATTTTCTTTATAAAATATTTTTGCTGAATCACAAAAACTCTTGCTGATTATGAATTTAAAAAAAAATTAAATATATAAAAAAATTATGCTGAATAGGACTTTAAAAAAAATGAATAAGGTTAATATTTTGATATATTTAGGAGCTGAATATAAAAATTCTTCAGCTGAATTAGGTTTTTGTTAAAACTTGTATGATTTTTACAATGTTAAATAAATAGCTGAATTAAAAATTTATAGCTGAATCGAAAAAAACTGGCTGAACTTGAGACATTTTCTTATTTTTTTAGCTGAATAGTATATAAACTTGGCACAATTTGATTTCAACAAACAAAATTAAACATTTTGTAATAAAATTGAAGAGAAATGGGTTGATTTAAGAAAATATACAGCTGAATTGGAAAAACCTTCGCTGAATACGATTTTTCTTAAAAAAATTGCTAAAGTTAAAATTTTCTTGCTATTTTGTTTAGCTGAATAGTAAAAAAATGGGTTAATATAAAAAAAATTTGTATTTAAATGGAAGAAAAAATGATTTGTTTCCAAAAACAAGGAGACTTTTAAAAATAATAACTTTTACAGGAAAATTACTTACTTTGTCCTTATTTTCCTGTTGTAATTTCTGATGTTGTTGTGCTGCCAAACTGCAAGCACCTCTTAGATTTTCGTTGCCCTCTTCTTCATTTGTTTCGTTAGAGTTGGCATTATTTACTGGTACATTGGACTGATTCAAAGATTGTTTACGTAAATTCTTGCGTTTTTTGGTGACATTTTTTGTTATAGGCGTGTTATTGACCGTAGAGTTGTTAGGGTTATTACAACGTGGTGTCTGATTGGTGGAATTATTACAATTGTTAATAACACTTTGACGCCAATTGGTGTCTTCTTCAGGTTTTTCATTTTCATTGTCATTATCATTGTTGGAAGAGGATAGGGGCAATTCGGTTTCATTATTTATATTGACATTTGTAATGAGACGTGTTTCCTCGTTTAGATTTTGAGTTGTAGCCGGATCTAAATGGGTATGAAGCAGTAGTTGCTGCTGCTGCTGTTGTTGTTGTTGCTGCTGCTGCAAGAGTTGATCTCTTTGTTCATTTAAGTTTAATTTGCGTAATGATATATTGGAAATATTATTGAATAATTGGTTCTGTTGACCTGCGGTCTCATTATTAATGTTATCTTTATCCAATAGCATGCTTTCTAAACGTCTAAAAACATCTTCCTTAATGGATTCATAGAATTTGGTGGTAAATTTATCATTTTTCAAAGCATTTACTAAAAGATTACGTTTAATTTCTTCTGAAGTGGTATCATCTTCTTCCTCCTCTTCCTCATCTTCATTATTTTCATTGCCATCCAACAGCATGTTATCATTATTGTGCTGCTGAGGATTAGAGAAATCCAAAGGTAATTGCTGTTGGGTATTTAAGAAATTATAATTTTCTACTCCTTCGTCGATATCGACGGCTGGTCTTAATAAAAAATCTGGATTTCTAGCTTGAGTTTGGGTGGCTGGTTGTGGCTGATGTTGTAGAGGATTTAAAAAATGTTGCAAGGTTTGATGTTGCTGCTGTTGTTGTTGGAAGGTCAAAGTATTTTGATACCTCTGCAAGGGCTGGGCCACATGACGTGTATTTTGTATGCTCGAAGTAGCTGGATTGAAATCCTCATTCAAGTTACGAAAACGCCAATTGGGTTTCGGACCCACTTTATTACTTTGCTGTATATTATAATTATGATACATTAAATCGGCTGTATTTGTGCCAGCATTTGTCGTGCTGCTATTATTGGTGGCGGCAGCATTTTCATGTTGTTCCAACCAATTCAATTGCTGTAGAAAATCTCTTTGCTGCTGATAGATATTTTGCTGATATTGTTGCTGCTGCTGTTGCTGATTAATACGTGATCTTTGTATAATGCGCAAATACTTATTATGAGCTGCTGTGGATGTATCATTGTTGGCAGCGTAATTTAAATTATTGCTACATTCTTCCAAATTTTGATTTTGTTGTGCTTGCTGGAAATTGTAAGGGGGATGTTGTGGCTGCTGATGTGGCATTGTTGCAGGTCTTTCATAAGGTGTTTCCTGTTGTTGCTGCTGCTGTTGTTGTATTTGTTGTTCTTCATTGCTTTTAGCAGAATTAGTAGAAAGCAAATTTTGCCGCGAATAGCTTTTGTTGGCATTATTTTTGGCCACATTTAACAACAACATTAACAATGTTAACATAACAAAAAAACGGAAAAGTACAAGAAATGTAAAGCAAAATATGGGTTAGTCATATATTAGGCAAAAATATTAGAAAAAACATGCTTAAACTAATTATTATTTTGGATAAATATCGTCTAGAACATTGCGTAGTCTGGTTTATATCCTAGTCCACTATCTTTCTATAGTATATTACCTAGTACATAGTATAGTTTAATCTGTAGTCTAGTCTATATTATAATCGATAGTCTAATGTATATTGCAGTCTATAGTATGATCTAGTCTGAAATCTAGTTTATAGTCTAGTCTGTATATTAGTTTATAGTCTAGTATGTTGTTTAGTCTATAATCTAGTTTGTATTCTAGTCTATTGTTTAGTCTATAGTTAAGTCTATAGTTAAGTCTCTAGTTTAGTCTATAGTCTAGTCTATAGCTTGGTCTACAGTCTAGCCTATAGCTTGATCTATAGTCTAGTCTGGTCTATACTCTAGTTTATAGTTATGTTCGAAGTCTGCCCTGTTCATTTAACGAAAATCATCCATATATAACAAATATATAAAATTTTAACAAAAGTTAAAAATTCTTACTTACATTTTCCCCATAAATAAATATTTAAATAACATATTTTTAATTCAATACATACGTATTTATAAAAATAAAAAAAAAAATAACTACAAACTGACCCATTGTTAACTCTTTATTAAATATAAAAAAAAAATTTTTCAAAAAATGTTAAGGGTTAAAAATTCCCTTAGAAAGAAACATTTTCGAAAGATAACAAGTATCTATGCATTAAAAAAATACATATAACTTTTTAAATAAGACAATAACAAATTTTAAATGAAAACATTATAAACTTTTTAAAAAGTTACTGAATATTTTCAAATTTGGCCAATTTCAAACTAAAGTTGATATGAAAATTAATAAATTAAGATTTACCTTCTAAAGTTATCCCAATAGTTGTTGGCACGATTGCCGGGTGGCACCTGATTATTAAGAGTATGCGATAGATTACTGTGGTGGTGCTGCTGTTGATTTTGGGTACGCAAATTAGCATTATTTTGATGTATGGCATTATTGTGATGATGCATAAAAATTGGAGCTGGTCCAGAGCCAACCACTGGGGATTGAGGAGTAGGTATTTCATTGTTAAAATGTGTTGAGGGAGCTTGTGGTGGTTGTGGTACAGCATTATTGAGCGTAGCATACATGCTAGAGGTGGCTGTAGCTGAAGAATTGTGTTGTTGAGTTTCAGTGGTAAAATTAAAAGCACCTTGAGGCTGAGCCACACGTTGATGACGATAGACATGTTGATGTTGTTGTTGCTGTTGATAATTGCTAAAAGCACTGTTTCTATTTTGTCCCGGTATAAAAGCTATGGGTTGTTCAGATTGTGCCCTATTTAGACCAACATATAAATTGTTGGGTAAAGCTTGTGTAGTGGGTATACCACCTAAACTTGCTGGTGGTACCGATTCAGAACGTAAGCCATAACTCACATCGTTAGCATTGTTTGAAGTGCTTCCACTTGTTATAGCCAATAATCTTTCCTGTAGAACGTGAATAGTTTGATTGAGACTATCAATTTCCCTTTGTTGATGCCACAACATTTGATTGCATTGGCACACAGAACTTATCAGCATTTGTTGGGTTTGTATAAATTGTTGCAACATGGGATCGTTGCTGGTGAGAGCAGCATTAGTAGCAGCACTGGTAGCTGTCGATGATGAAGTGGCTGCTCCCAAATTATTGGCATTACATATGCATTCGTTAGTGCTTAATGTAGCGGCATTTGTAGAGGTTTGATTTAACCCGAAAGAAGTTTGCGGTGGTGGAGGTGGTGGTGGCACACCAGTAGCATAATAATATTGATGAGGATTCCAGGCAGTTGGTAAAGGTGGTGGTATTGGGCCGGCTTAAGAAAAATAAATATTTAAATTCAAATTACTCTTAAGTAGGTCTATAAGGTAGCAGTCTAGGTTATTATATGGATTATAGTCTAGTCTTTAGTATAGACTATAGGCTGAACATTATAAAAGTCCATAGTCTGGTGTTTAGACTACGGTCTAGTATATAGCCTAGGCTGTATACTAGTATATAGTCTTTACTATGCTGAAGTCTAGTTTATAGTCTGGACTATACAGACCAGTCTACAGCTTGGTATTTAGTCTACACCAGAGTCTGTCTCAACTATTATCCGTTCTAAAGCCTGGACTATAGGCTGGATTTAAGTTTTCAATCTAATTTGTAATCTAGTCTAGTTCGTTCTCTAAATCTAAGAAAACAAAAAAAAAAAAAAAAATAAAAATAACTTACGGAAATTCATGCCCATTGCTGACATAGGTGGTGGTATAGAAAAAGATCTCGAACTGCCCGACTGCATACTAGCGCCCTCGAGAGAGGCTCCGTCATGAGTACTGCTGGCCGCCTGAGCTATATGAGTGGCAGCATTTGAAGAGGCACCAGTTGAGTTCAAAGAGTCCTTAACATTTCTGCTAGACTGTTCATTAACACGTGTGGCAGCTGGTGTGGAGGTTGGCACAAATTTAGTACTGGCTGCATAGTCTGAGTCATTGTTGTCTTCTTCGGCTTCATCGTCGGCCTCCGAAACAATATCTTGTCTACGGGTGGGTGTTGGTTGTTGATCTTCTTGTTCCAACCGCTTGCACAGCATTTCAAATTCTTTTTTCTTTAATTCATATTCTTCCTTAAGTTGATCTCTTTCCTGTTGGGTTTTTACATGCTCATCCCAGCGACTTTCGTGATTGCGTGGCACGGGAGTGGGAGTTAAACTATTTCTCTTTAAAGCATCCTCACCCATTTGGGCAGCAGCGGCCGCCTGTTGTTTACGTCTCTCGATTTCATTTTTCAAAGCTTGTATGCGATCTTTTTCCGATTGCAAAGACTGGGCTTGTGCTCTCAAGTCTGAGGTAACCTCATTTAGCATACGTACTTTACGGGCTATAAACTCTTCATTAGAGTTATCATCCTGGTAGCGGCTGGGAGCAGCTACGGGAGTACGTTCGCGGTCATAGGTTATAGGTACCTCACGTGGTGGTGTTCGACCAATAAGTTTAGGATCTTTGGCTGTATGAGCCTCTATGATATTGACAGTTTCCATCATATCTTTCAAACGTTTCAGCTGAGCCTTCATGGCATCTATATCAGCCACTTTTTGCTGGATTAAAGCGGCAGCTATTTTATGTTGTTCTTCATCCTCTTCTTGTTCTGGTTCAGCTTCAGCCTCTGATTCGGATTGCATTTGCCCATTGGGTTGTTGTCTTTGAGCCTGTTGCAAAAGTTCAATGGGTACATTGCGACTATATTCAACTGGTACTTCGCGTTCTACATTAGATTCTTTCTTACTAGAGCCAGCTGCCGGTTTAGGAGAGGTTTGTTGACCATTTTCTTCTATATCCTTTTCCTGTTCATACTGCCTTTGTCTAGCCTCTTTGGCAGTCTCCTCTGCCGAACGATTGACACTTTGCAGTTCACTAACTAGGTTACGCATTTCATCACGCTGTGAGCGCAAAGCCTCAAGTTTTCTTTGCAATAGTTCTTGTTCAGCTGAGATTTCTGGACCATCATCACCCATTAATGAGGATAATTCATTTTGATTTTGTATAAAAGTGGTTAAATTCTTCATACGTCCCACAAGAGAAGCCATATCAGAATGTACTTGATCGAGTGATTGATAATCGGGAGCACCATCAGCACCCTCTGCTTGGGAACCCGAGGGAAAACTTAAGGTTTGAGCTTGTTGTCGCAATTTTTCCATGTCGCTTAAATGCTGTTTAGCCGCATTTTGTAATTTTAGCAATTGTTGCTGTTGTTCTTGCATATTTTGGATATTACGATTGGATGCTTCCAAACGTTGTTGCAACTCCTCATAGGAAGGTGTATTATCGGGTGTGGGAGTTTCCATATTGCTGTGCAATGATTGTATAGATTGGGCACGATCACTCATCTGTAGGTGAGAAGTTATATTATAGTTTTTGTGATCATATACGTATATATAGAAAGAAACTCACCTCACTTCGGGGTACATCTTCTAAACTGGTAGAATTCACCACTACATCTCTTGCCGAAGCATTTGGTGTTATTTCATGGACCATGGTGGTGGATTTTAAAGCCTGAAAATAATATATTATATTACCTTTTTTATTCCATATTAAGTAATGTTACGTTTTTCAATAGTTCTAGTTCAGTTCCAGTTCAGTTCTAGTTCAGTTCTAGTTCAGTTCTAGTTCAATTCTAGTTCAGTTCTAGTTCAGTTCTAGTTCAGTTCTAGTTCATTTCTAGTTCATTTCTAGTTCAGTTCTAGTTCAGTTCTAGTTCAGTTCTAGTTCAGTTCTAAATCAGCTCTAGTTCAGTTCTAGTTCAGATCTAGTTCAGTTCTAGTTCAGTTCTAGTTGAGTTCTAGTTCAGTTCTAGTTCAGATCTAGTTCAGATCTAGTTCAGTTCTAGTTCAGTTCTAGTTTAGTTCTAGTTCAGTTTTAGTTCAGTTCTAGTTCAGTTCTAGTTTAGTTCTAGTTCAGTTCTAGTACAGTTCTAGTTCAGTTCTACTTCAGTTCTAGTTCAGTTCTAGTTCAGTTCTAGTTCAGTTCTAGTTCAGTTCTAGTTCAGTTCTAGTTCAGTTCTAGTTCAGTTCTAGTTCAGTTCTAGTTCAGTTCTAGTTCAGTTCTAGTTCAGTTCTAGTTCAGTTCTAGTTCAGTTCTAGTTCAGTTCTAGTTCAGTTCTAGTTCAGTTCTAGTTCAGTTCTAGTTCAGTTCTAGTTCAGTTCTAGTTCAGTTCTTTAAATGTAATGTACAGTTTTTTAATTAAATTCCTTACCTTTTGCTGAGCCTGCAAAGAGTTTTCCAAATTAATTTTATGATTATTATTAGCGTTTAAAGTCTGCTGAAAACGTTGAGCTAATTGATTGAATTCGTTTGAATTATGATTCAATACAGCATTCGCTAAATTGGCCGATGAGGAAGCCTGTATAGTGGGCAATATATTACTGGTTAAATTTAAAAACGGTTGAGTTTGTGTATTCTCAAATAGTTGTTTTAAACGTTGTACCACCAACAATTGTAAATGTTGTTCAAATTGTGGTCCTAACAAAGAATTATCGTTTAGCGTAGTATTGATATTTGAAGCTACCGGCTGCACAGATTGTGTTGCTGCCGACGATGATGATAAACCGGGTGTTGTTGGTATTACAACACCTATAGCGGTATTAAGATTTGTATTTGAATTTTGTGTACAATTCAAAAAATCACTTTGTGTTTGTTGATTACTGCTGCCGTGTAGCTGCTGTTGTTGTTGTTGTGGTTGTTGATTACGTCTCGGTATTGGTCGTACAGGATAACAGAAACGTTGTTGATTTTCTTGAGAACTTTCTATATGTTTAGAAAAAAATATAAATATAAATATTAATTTTAGATATTGATCACATATGATTGAAATTTTTATAAAATATTAAGCTTTTATATAGATATTAAAAGCAAAGTAAAAGTTAATTTAAATTACATTTTATTTTTAAAGAAAAAAACCAAAAACAATTCTTTGCATGACTAAGAAATTTTGATTTTTATATACATTGATGATGTAGTATGCAATAAAAATGAAAAAAAACAGACAAATTTCTAAATTTAGATCATTCAAATATTTTAAATACTAAAGGTACAAAATAACATAGATACAGTGTCTCTCATAAGTATTCGAATTTGGGTATAATATGAAAAGAAACCAAATTTAATAATATATTTAGTGTGCAGAATTAATAACTTAATTTGTTAAATTGTCTAGACAGTCCTTAGCTTTGATATCACGCTTTTTAAAACTTTAAAAAATCACATTTACTTAAATTAATTTAGCTTTATTTAAAAAAAGTCCATAAAATTACCTCACAAAAGTATACGAATTTTCCTGTATTTCATATTTGACTATATTATACGAAACACAAAAATTAGAATCGAATATTTTTTTTGCTAAAAATTGTTTTAAGGGGTAACTATCAACCGAATGGATATATTTTTGGCCCATTTGGTCCACAATTTTGGGGCATTTGTACCATCTTTTCATGTAATATCATTAAAATGGCGATTTTTAGCAATATTTGTATTTTTTTCTCCTTTTTCCCAGAGAAAAAACCAAAATTTGTTATTGGGATTTAATATACCCCTTGGAGTATCTAAAAATAATATTTTTTGTTACAAAAATCTTTATTTAAACGTTCCAATATATATTATTGGAATCATTCTTCTATCGCTAATTCAATTTATTGGAACTCAAGTCCATTTTTATAATACCAGGGTCAAAAATTTTCGGGGAAACTTGTCTTCTATATATTGTTTTAGATATCAGCTGTTATACATTTTAAGTTTTCAATATATTGTGGAAGTGTACAACTCCAAAGCATGCCTCGAAGAAACGCCATTCAATATAGTGGAATCATTCTTTTTATAACCATTGGCCTCTAGGCTGAATGTCACCATATCATTATGGTCTAACTCAAAAATATTGATTTCTGTTTAAATATTATCTACTATGATCAAAATAAACCCAAAATTTTGGACATACAGCGTTTTTGTAATGGGTAACATAATCGTGAATGTTATGAGTAGTAAAAACTGAAATCTACTGTATAGGATGATATTTTGTTAAGGCATGTTTTGGAGTTGTATACCACTACGATGTCTTGAAAAATTAAAATATATTAGTGCTAATATCTACAATAATATATACTAGCCAACTTTGTCGAAAAATATCGATCCTAGTGGTACGAAAAGGGACTTAAGATCCAGATAATTCAATAAGAAACAGAAGAACGATACCAAAAATATATCTTGGAATGTTTAAGTACAGGTCCTTATAACAAAAGTTATTATTTTTAGATACCTCAAGGAATCTATTAAATCCCAATATTAAATTTTGGTTTTATCTCTTTAAAAAGAGAAAAAAATGGCAAATATGGTCAAAAATCGTCATTTTAATGATATAATATGAAAAGATGGTACAAATGCCCCAAAATTGTGGGCCAAAAATATATCTTTTCGGTTGATAGTAACCCCTTGAAATAATTTTAAGCAAAAAGACCATTCGATTCTAATTTTTGTGTTTCGTAAAATATGGTCAAATATGAAATACAGTTAAAATTCGAATACTTTTGTGAAGTAATTTTTTTGACTTTTTTTAAAAAAAGTTAAATTTATTTAAGTAAATGTAAATTATCTAAATTTTAAGGAGTGTGATATTAAACCTTAGGACTGTCTAGACAATATGTCAAATTTAATTATTAATTTTACACACAATAAATATTATTAAATTATGTTTCTTTTAAAAGTACACCTAAATTCGAATACTTATGTGAGACACTGTATATACTTAGTAGAAACAAACACACACACACAAATCTTTAAGATGAAAGACTACAAAACTAAATAAAATAAACTTTAAGGAAAAACACAACTAAAATATTTAAATAATACAAGATGTCTTATATAAAGTTATTTTAAATTTAAAAACTTACCAAAATCACTATTAGTGGCTGTGGTATTACTTTGATTTTGCTGCTGCCCTGCTGTAGTTTGTAACTGTTGCTGCTGTTGTTTATTATTATTTAGATTATTAGTATTATTTGTTGTTGTTGTTGTTGTAGTTAACACCGTAGTTAATAAATAATCCTTTAAATAATACAAAAATATCAAAGATATTGTAAAAATTATTATTAGCCCGCCTATATTGAGAGATTTTTCTTTTGCGTTTAAAGTTCTTATAGATTTATTCGGAAAATATTTGCGTTTTCGTTTCGTTCGTTATTGGCCGACATAAGAAGTACAACTGACATGCGGAAAACTAAAGATAAGCATTTTCATTTAGATTTTTCACACAGATTTTCTTTTCATAAAGAAAGAGTATTTTTTGTGGATTATTTAAGAGATATTGAGAAAAGTGTTTGATATTGGAAAAATCTCTTAAGATTTTGTTTTTAATGTTTACAATATATAATTTATTAACTTGTCTTTCCACCTGCAATTTCCTCAATTATTACTTGCTATTCTATAATTTTCTGGATATTTTTATAAACGAGAAAGATTTTGGTTGTTGATGATTGAAATGTATTTTCCGAAATACTATCTGACATATATTTTAATATCAGTTATATTCGAAAAAACATTGAAAATCAACAGATCGCTCCATAAGCCAACATTGTTTTAAAAAAAAATCATTTTTTGCAATTCCAGTAAAAATTATAAATTCATAAAAATTTAGAAATTACCAAAAGATTTAAATTTTACCTAAAAATTTGAAATTTATCTAGAATTCTAATTCCACAAAAAATTTCTGAAAATTAAAAAAAAAAATTTACAAAAAATTCTAAATTTTTTAAAAACTAAATTTTTCATATAAAATCAAAATTTTAATTATTTTGTTATAATTTCTAAATTAAGAGCATTTGAAATTTAAGAGTACATACCAGTAAATTTTGGCAAAATGCTTTAAAATTGCTAATATTTAATAAACAGTTTTAAAAATATTAAAAGGAACTTATTAAAGATTTGTTTATATTGTATTTTCTTCCCATATGTGGGTGGCTACAGTTTGTCCATTAAATTTGATTGTTATTTTTGGAAACTGTGACGCATTTGTTTAATTTTAATGTAAATGCAAATAAAATAAAATCAATTACAATGTACGTTTTATTAAATTAAGATTTTTCTGAAAATTTATAAAAGAAAATCAGCGCTATTATGTGAGAAAATATTGTACAATACAAGTGCTAGTCTATAGTCTGGACTAAAGTCTGAACTTAAGTCTAGTATATATTCTGAACTACTGTCTTGTCTGTATTCTGGACTATAGTCTAGTATGTAGTCTGGACTATAGTCTAGTCTTTAGTCTGAACTACAGTCTACTCTATATTCAGGACTATAGTTTAGTCTATAGTTTGTACTATGGTCTAGTCTATAGTCTGGACTATAGTCCAATCTTTAGTCTTTAGACTATAGTCTAGTCTAAAGTCTGGACTGTAGTCTAGTCTATAATGTGGACTGTAGGCTTTTATGTTATAGGCATAATATAGCTTGTAATACAGATTTGCCTATAGCCTGGACTGAAATAGTTTGTAATAAGGACTATAGTATAGTTTGGAGCCTGCACTGTAGAATAGCACATAGTCTAAACAATAGACAAGTTCCTAGTCCCTATAATCTGGTCTACCTATTCAAAAGTTTTACAAATTAATTGCTTTCAAACTCACATTTAAATCTTTAAGTTCTCTGCGTATGGGTGCAACAATTTCTGTATTTTTATGTTGTTGCTGTTGCTGCTGATTACGTGTATGCTGTTGTTGCTGCTGCTGTTGTTGTTGTTGTATTGAAGCCACTATATTTAAAGGACTGCAGCGATTTGCCAATTGAGCCAAACCTGAAGGCTGTAGCAAAGACTTTTGCCCAGCAACTGTTGAACTATTACAATTTGTTGAAGACTTCGTAGAAGCTTTTGGTACCGTACCCGTTTGTTTACGATGTGACGACGAAGGATTAGAGGAATGTGAAGAATTTATTGCATTTGAAGCTACCGCCGTAGCAGCAGCTGGTGGAATACTATTGTGGCTGTGGGAATTGCTACTGTTGGTAGAATTTTTATTTGTGGAATTGGGATTTTTAACTGGAGCCATCTTTAAGATAATTAGTTAAATTATTGAATAAATTTTAAGTTTTTAATTTTTTTCTTTTTCAATATTTTTTCATTGATTTTTTTGCACGCCCCTTTTTATTGTATGAATGAAAAAAATTTTCATCCGCTCAATTTTTATATTCTTAATAAATATTTTTGTTTTATTTCATGTTTCCCGGGTAATGTAATTAGTTGTTGTTAGTTTTAGCGAAAATTTGTTAATTTTAATAGATTTTTTAATAAGTTTTAATTAAAAACAATTTCGATGCAATTTTGTGTGCAAAAAATATACTACATTCCGGCTGACAATCTCGTCGAAAACTAATGATGCCAGATGATTGCTTAAGATAAAGTAACCAGATTGTATATAAACATGAGTTGCCAATCAGAAAGCAAACCGTTAACCTGATATATTGTTTATATTCAAAAAGAAAATAATTTCTCTAATTTACTGTACATTTTTATAATTTTCAGTTCAAAAATTTTATAAAAATTAATATAATAATATTAATTTTTATTATTTTTTTAAGAAAAAAATTTTAATTAATTTAATTTTTTGAGTTATATTTTTTATGTTTAATTTCATTGATTATTTTATAATAATTGTATACATTTTTATTGAAAATAAAACTTTTTATACATAACCTAAAATTTCTTGATTTTCATAGTTAATTTCGATCTTATTTGGGTGGTTCTTTTCTGGAGCGTATAATACTTTCCTTCAGTTCTTTTATACGTTGACGTTCAGCCCTTAAGTTATCCGCCTGAGATCTTAAATCCGTAGAGAAATCCTGAAACATATTCAACATGGTTAAAATAAGTTGCTCCTTTTCATCAGATGTGGTGGCGGCCTCTAAATCGGCCATGGTAGGCATTTCTGGCATAGTTGGAAGCTCTATGGGTGTGGGTAGTTGTATCGTAGCTGCTAGGGGTAAAGTAGCTGGTGTTGTTACTGCAGCCGTAGCAGCAGTTGCTGGTTTTGCAGCTGGTTTAGGTTTCGTTGTTGGTTCTGGGGTGGTCTTTTCTGCCGCTTCATGTTTACTTATATGATTCTCGATTAATTCGGTAGTATTGATCATGTGTTGGACTCTTTTGAATTGAGCCTTCAAACGCGCAATTTCCTCTAATTTCTCTTTAATATATTCAGCATCTTCTGCTGTGGCTTCCTCGCTATTTTCCTCAGTGGTTTCTACAGAAGTATTTTGTAAAGATTCTAGAGTTTCCAAACTTTCTGCAGCTTCGGCAATACTCTGTTGATACTGCAGCCTCCTTTCCTCATCCTCACGTTCTTGTTGCTCTCGGAGACGCTGCAAATCTTCAGCCCTTTTGCGCAACTGCTCCATTTCCTCGAGCAGCTGACGATGTTCAGCTTGCATATCGGCCAGAGCTTGATTGGAAGCGGCCAGACGTTGTCCCAATTGCTCATTTTCTAGAGCTTCTTGGGGTTTGTTAGTTTCATTAACCATGACTGGAAGCAGTTTAGGGGAAATGAAATGAGAATTAAATGAAGGACAAATTAATCCAGAATTTGACATATCCATCTATATATCTGTCTATCTATCTATCTATCTATCTATCTATCTATCTATCTATCTATCTATCTATCTATCTATCTATCTATCTATCTATCTATCTATCTATCTATCTATCATCTATCTAT